CCCCCTGCAGATCAAGTTCAAGGCGTATGGAGAGAAGCAGGGATCCCTGCATGGCCACCCCATCTCCACGCCCTACATGACCAAAGACTTCCTGCAGCAGAAACGCTTCCAGGCGCAGTCCAATGGCACCACCTATGTGTACGATGTGCCCGACATGTTCCGCCAGATGACCGAGCGACACTGGAAGGAGTTCTCCAAGGCCCGACCCACAGTGGATATACGCATCCCAGACAAGATCCTGATCGAGTGCAAGGAACTGGTGCTCGAGGGTGACAGTCTGGTGGAGATGCAGCGGCTGCCGGGTGAAAACAATGTGAGTTTGGGCTTTAGAAGGTCCTGAAGCGTAATTTTCATGATTATTTTATATTTCCAGTGCGGCATGGTAGCTTGGCGCATTGTTTTGGCCACTCCCGAGTATCCAAATGGTCGTGAGATCATTGTCATAGCCAATGACCTGACCTACCTGATTGGTTCCTTTGGCATCAAGGAGGACGTGCTCTTCGCCAAGGCCTCCCAGCTGGCTCGCGAACGTAAAGTTCCTAGGGTAAATATATCTCTTGGTGTTACCAAATCTAAAACTTACTAATCCTCCATTCCCCTCCAGATTTACATCTCCGTAAACAGTGGAGCTCGCATTGGTCTCGCGGAGGAGGTAAAGGCCATGTTCAAGATCGCCTGGGAGGATCCCGAGGAGCCAGACAAGGGCTTCAAGTACCTTTACCTGACCACCGAGGACTACGCCCAGGTGGCCAACCTGAACTCGGTGCGTGCCATTCTGATCGAGGACGAGGGAGAGCAGCGCTACAAGATTACCGATATCATAGGCAAGGATGATGGTCTTGGCGTGGAAAACTTGCGTTATGCAGGTCTCATTGCCGGAGAGACATCTCAGGCTTACGAGGAGATTGTCACCATTGCCATGGTGACTTGCCGGACCATCGGTATTGGCTCCTATGTCGTTCGGCTGGGCCAGCGTGTCATCCAGATTGACAACTCGCACATTATACTCACGGGTTATGCCGCGCTTAACAAGGTAAGCTGCTGAATAATAAACCCTTAATAGATTTGTTCAGTGTATACACGTTATCCTTACCCATTTTTCAGCTACTTGGACGCAAGGTATACGCCTCAAACAACCAACTGGGCGGCACCCAAATCATGTTCAACAACGGCGTCACCCACAAAACGGAGGCCATCGATCTGGACGGTGTCTACACCATCCTCGACTGGCTCTCGTACATCCCCGCCTACATTGGCTGCGACCTGCCCATCATTTTGCCTAGCGATCGCATCGATCGGCCCGTGGACTTCATGCCCACCAAGTCGCCGTACGATCCCCGGTGGATGCTAGGTGGCCGCGTCAATCCCTCGAATGCCAACGATTGGGAGAATGGCTTCTTTGATCGGGATTCGTGGAGCGAAATCATGGCGCCGTGGGCCAAGACAGTGGTCACCGGACGTGCCCGTCTCGGCGGTGTGCCCGTTGGTGTAATTGCTGTGGAAACGCGCACGGTGGAGGTGGAGATGCCCGCCGATCCTGCCAATCTCGATTCGGAGGCCAAGACCCTGCAGCAGGCGGGTCAGGTGTGGTATCCAGATTCCTCGTACAAAACGGCGCAGGCCATTAAGGACTTTGGACGGGAGGAGCTGCCGCTGATTGTGTTTGCCAACTGGAGAGGCTTCTCTGGCGGCATGAAGGACATGTACGAGCAGATCGTCAAGTTTGGTGCCTACATCGTCGACGGATTGCGGGAGTACAAGAAGCCGGTGCTGATCTACCTGCCGCCCAACGCAGAGCTGCGAGGTGGTGCCTGGGCTGTGCTGGACTCGCTGATCAACCCGCGCTACATGGAAACCTATGCCGATCCGGAGGCAAGAGGAGGAGTACTGGAGCCGGAGGGCATTGTGGAGATTAAGTACAAAGAGAAGGATCTGGTCAAGACGATACATCGCCTGGATGCCACCACCATTGCGGTAAGTTTTAATGCCATTAATTATAGTAATAATATTTTTAATTGCATTTTTTTCTGTTAAAATACAGCTTAAGAAGGAGTTCGATGAGGCAGTGGCTTCTGGCGACAAGGTCAAGTCCGCCCAGGTGGATGAGAAGATCAAGGCTCGACTGGCCATGCTGATGCATGTCTATCACACGGTGGCCGTTCACTTTGCCGACCTGCACGATACTCCCGAGCGGATGCTGGAGAAGGAGTGCATCAGCGAGATAGTGCCCTGGCGCGATTCCCGCCGCTGGCTCTACTGGCGCCTGCGACGCCTGCTGCTGGAGGATGCCTACATCAAGAAGATTCTGCGAGCCCAGGACAATCTGTCCGTTGGCCAGGCCAAGCAGATGCTGCGACGCTGGCTAGTGGAGGAGAAGGGAGCCACAGAGGTAAGACTTACTAAATATTACCCAGGCCGGCAATATCTGAATGTATAAATAACGATTCTTTTTCAGTCTTATGTGTGGGACAAGAACGAGGAAATGGTGGCCTGGTATGAGGAGCAGAGCAATGCCGAGTCTATTGTTTCCCGCAATGTAAACTCCGTGAGGCGAGATGCCATTATTTCCACCATTTCGAAAATGCTCGAGGTAAGCAGTGATAAATCTTCGGGTTAAATTTTTAGTGACCTTTTACCTTCTTGTTATCCCCAGGACTGCCCCGACGTAGCGCTGGACGCTGTGGTTGGTCTCTGCCAGGGCCTGACGCCCGTCAACCGGGGCGTGGTCGTACGCACACTGGCGCAGATGCAGCTGAATGAGGAGACCTCCTCGTCCAGTAATAACCAGGGATGATTCTACGCTAGGTTCTAAGTTCAATTTCCCCCCTCTAAGTTCATCCCATATCCATCCCCCCCTCTTCTCAAGCCCCCCCTGCATGATGTGCATTTTGTTTAGTTGAATTTGTTTAGCCTAAATCTAGTTATGTATGATGATTGGAGTTAGGATTGTAGGAATGGGTAGATCCTTGGCCCCCGGATGTAGTCTTACCGTGTACATATATTCGAGTATGTATGTATCCCCCGAATGCTAAAGTCATTCCATTAGTTGTCTAAGAACAAACGTCCTTTGTACACACAGAGCTTTTTGAATTATACGAGTTACTGAAAATATACAATACATTTTTCCAAAAAAGCACTGTCTGCCAGGTTGTGTTCTCTTGTTGTGTATTCTTTTGGTTCCACAGGATCGATAATGTACATAATTTCATTTATTTTTTATATAAATTAAAAATGAAATCTAACACAGACGCAGGGCGGCGGCCAATATCCGATTTGCTGCGCTTCTATTTGCTGTTTTTTCTCGTGACGATGAAGGTGATGACGGTGAGGGGTGCAGAGATGGATGGGGTAGCCAAGGCTTAGCCGGGTTCAGTTCAGGTTATCCAGCCAATCGGGCTCGGCCACACTTATCTTCTCGATTATGGAATTCACTTGATAGCACAGCGACTGTATCTGCCTGTCCCACTGCGGCAGGAGTTCGCGGTTCTCAAAGTGCACGATGCCCGAGATCTGGTCAATGTGTCCATTCATGCGGCCCTCGGTGATCATCTGGGAGGCAATCTTCTCCGCCTTCACAGCGGGTATGTCAAGCAGGGCGCCCAGCTCCTCGAAGGTGATGTTGTTGTACAGCTTGCTGGCCGACAGCAGGTTGTGCTCGAAGACGGCCCGGTCCAGAATCGAGGAGCCGTCGGGCGTGGCCGCCTTCTGATGGTCCTGCAGCAGGGCCTCGAACTCTTGCAGCTCAGAGCGCCGAATGATGCGCTCCAAGTACATCTTCTCTAGGATACCATAGGCCGGCAGATGCTGGCAGCGTTCGTCCTTGAAGAGAGTGGCCAGCATGCGGGAGCGCTGTTGGCCGGCGGAGGCGAGAACTGTACAGATTAGAGCCTTCTTTAGCGCCGTCATGCGCTCGCCCTGGTCCACGATCTTGCGGTAGGAGAGCTCGTTGTAGCGCTGGGCGGCCTCGATGAACTTGCGCCGGTAATCCAGGACACGGGCATAGCAGACTTTGTAGAGAACCTAAACCGGTGGATGATGAAAAGTTTATACTCTGGTTGAAAACATAAGACTCACTTGCAACTCCTCGGAGTTGGTCTCGGCCTGCAGAAGCGAGGCGCGATTGATGAACAGCTCGGCCTGCACCGAGTCGTTGTCCTCCAGGTAGAGACGGGCGATCTTCAGATAGGTGCCCAGCTTGCACTCCACGGAATACTGCTTCTGGCCCGTCTCCAGGGGAATGCCCACTAGTACCGTGGCTGCCTCGCGCCACTGCTGGTTGCGCTCGTAGATATTGGCCAGGTGGAACCGAATGCCGGCCACCTGCTCCTCGAAAGAGATTACACGCGGGTGAACCTTCTCCAGGGTGAAGTGGGAGAGCTGCTTGGAGAGGTCGTCGGGCAGCTTGCTCAGCTCAACGCCCACATCGTTGAGGATCTGGCGCGAGATCACCAAGCTGACGTGCTCGTTCACAATCGCCTCCACAAAGAGCCGCAGGCCGTCGATCAGTTCCTGGCCGGTGTTTGCGAGCACCGTCTTCAGCAGCTGGCGGTACTTGTCCGCCTGGTCCTTGTGCGTGCCGGGGAAGTTGTTCAGGCCCATCAGCTGGTTGCGCAGGATCGCCGTCGAGATGCCCATGTTGGATTTGCACAGTTTTCGGCCGAGTTCAATGTATTCCCAATTTATTTCGCACTATCTAAGAACAACAACGCAAGCTCATCCCTGTTATCGATAACTCGCGAATCGGGCCGCGGCAGTGCTGCGCATGTAACTGTTTCAAGCTAAATCTAAAACAGGTGAGTAATAACTTGTGTTGGCTTAATCTACATTCCAGGAAAACTAAACACCTTGGCCCATATCAGAGATATTTAAAAACATCTTAAAGTCTACAATGTATACAAAATAGAAGACATTATTCTAATTCTCATTAGCCAGAAATTTAGCCTTTTAAACGCTACTTAAGGATGTCAACTCTGTGCTGGTGTTGACTAATAACAAACGAAAAACGCAAAGCTGTGCAACACTGGTTTAACGATTATAAGTAAACAGTGAAAAAATATTTCTGGTGCGGGTCCATTGGGTCTCGAACGAAAAAACAAAAATACAGAGCAAGAAAGACAATCTTTGTGTGTTAAATTATCAGTGCTTGGGTTAGGAACTCAAAATCAGCCTGTGCGTCACCGTAACACTCCGTGCCGCGCGTCCAAAAGGGTGGGGACAAAGCGAGACCCACACATATGTACACACATTTATCGAGAGGCAATCAGTGAAAATGTATCCAAAGGAATCCAATGGCCATATTTGCGAGCAGATATGAACGGAAATTGCCAATTGATGACACCCAAACGCTGAGCTGCGAGATAACCGCCGTCGAGGAGGTCGACGGACATACGGTACGTAGATAGGGATTAGAGCTCCTGCTGCTGCTGACCCCCCAGCGAAAAATCAATAATTGTTGATGATGATTTCATGCATTCGGTCGGTGTCTGTATGCGTGCATGTACATATGTATTTATGTTTGTTTGTGTCTAATGCAGGAATACCTGCTGCGCGTGTGGAGGGGCACCAGCAGGGAGAACTCGTGGAACGTTCTGCGCCGCTACAATGACTTCGACCGGCTGGACAAGTGTCTCCGGATCTCCGGCATCGAGCTGCCGCTGCCTCGCAAGCGCATCTTTGGTAACATGCGTCCGGATTTCGTAGCTGAACGGAAGCAAGCTCTGCAAGTGTACATAAACGCCGTACTAATGAATCCCATACTGGCCTCATCGCTGCCAGCCAAGCGCTTTGTCGATCCCGAGAGTTACTCGCAGTCCTTTCACGGTGCGTTGATCTCTCTCTCCTGCTCTGGATTCTCTTTAATTTCTGCCTGCAATTTTTCACCTCCACAGACCATGCCGTGCAGAACGCCTTGCTCTGCCTGCGATCAGATGCGGCGTGGGCTTTGGGCGGAACCATGGGCGCCATAGGCTGGCGCCTCAGAAAGCACTACTTCAAGGTGACGCCCAAGCCACCAGAGAAGAGCAGCAGCCACAAGCAGTTGGTCAAGAGCGGCTCCCAGACGCACCAGAGCAAGCATTTCGCCTCCGGCAGCAGCAGCAATGGCAGCGGCCACTCCATCGATGCCGGCACCCTTGATCCGGGTGCAGAGGTAGTGGCTGAATGGTTGGAGTACGGGCCGGACAAGTTTGTGGACGAGAAGGAAATTAGTGGGATACTAAAGAGCCTGATGGGTCTGCAGCATCCGCACATCGAGCCCGTCATCTTTGCCGGCCACACGGAGAGCGGTTGCCTTGTGATCAGGAAGTGAGTCTTAATATTAATAGGAAGCTCTCGCTAAATTGTTTCCTGTCCCCATAGATTCCACAAGCACGGCACCTTGAAGGATGTGCTGTGCATGGCCACGCCAAAGAATCCCTTCCTCAGCAAGTATGGCAATCCGAAGGGACGCACTGCACTCTCCATGAAACAGGTGGCCACCTATGGCAAGCAGATTCTAGAGGCCCTCATATTTTTGCATTCCAAGGGGTACGCCTACGGTAAGTTCCCAAACTTACCTTATTTCAGATCTCATAAACTTAAGGTTTGGGTTTTGCATTCGCAGGTCACCTTCATTCCGGAAACATAGTCATAGTGGACGATTGCGTGAAGCTTTTGGACATTGAGAATTACCTTGTGGGCGTTCCGGCGTTCTACAGACCCTTCTTTGTGCAGCACAGTAAGATCCATGCCATGGAGACGGTGGATGTCTACTGCTTTGGGCATGTCCTGTTCGAAATGACCATGGGCTATCCGTTGCAGGAGTCTGTTGTGCGACAGATAACGGAATGTCCAGAGGCCTTGAGTGAGTTCAAGAACTGCTTTCATTTTAATTCGGAATGATTAAAGTTTTACCTTTTGTAGAATGCCTGCTGGAGAGCATTTTGTCGAAGGAGGCCTGCAAGGCAGGCCTTCCCACGCTGGAACAGCTGCTGGGTCACAGATTCTTCACGCAATATGCTTCAACGGAGGGCGCTGGCGCCGCCAATGCGGAGAAGCCCTACTTTAAGCTTTCCCTGAACGCCAAGGAGCTGCTGAAGCAGGCGGCCCTCAAGAGCGAGAATCGCCTGCGGGATGAGCAGAAGTCGGTGAAGAACCAAAAGCGCATCGTGCGCGTCCAGGAGCTGATGAGCTCCGAGGAGGAGAAGCGCAAGTCCAAGCAGAAAGCAGTTAGTTGCCCAACCTTCCCCCCAATTCCCACGTAGATCTTGCCAACCCTTCCACACAGCAACTTAACGAACACTTTTTGGTTTCTCTTTCTTTCGTTTATTTGAATCGATGCTTACGTCTAGAAACTAGAGCACAAACAGTCGAAGCTAAAGCAGCAAGTATCACTCCAAACGAACAATGGACGCTTGTCGCTTGTGGCTGCCACTGCATCAGCAGCAACAGCAGCTTCCTCCTCCAGCACGGTCCTGGGTGTAGGGTTAAGTGCGGCCGACTCCTTCAACCGCTCCGACAGCACTCCCGAGGAGCCCACACTGGCCGGCCTCAAATGTAGTTATCTAACAGCCGTTCACAGCTTCAAATCAGTAGTTTGTTAGCTTTCTAGCCCCCGGAACTCACCCGGACTCACTTTCGTTTCTGTTTTTTTTTTACCTTTCAGCCCCACCGCTTACTCCGGCTCCGCTGGCGAGTGGAGCACCCGTGGAGCGGCAATCTTCCACACCGAACATGCTGGCAGAGGACACGGAGGCCGGCGATGGAGATGGAGAGGGCGATGAGGTGACCCGCTCGGCTTTGCTGGAGTCCATCTGCAAGTTTAACCGCGGATCGCTGCGCAAGGTGCGCTCCAACGACTAAGAGATTTATAAACGTTAAAAAAAAACTTTTCGGACCAAATGTGGCGTTATGAAATAACACGGTGCCATCAGGAAAAACAAAAAACCAACTCGAAACTAATCGAATTCCAAAAGCTACATTTTTAGAGGCATATTTGAGACTCAAAAAACCGCAGAAGCAGAGGAAGAATATAGCGCATATACCCAAAAAAAGAAAAACAATCCAGCAATTACTATATATGTACTAACGAAACCCACTGATTATAATTATTGCATCTTATACGTGTCCACTATATACATACATAGCATACGATTTATCGGAATGTGTCTATATCTATGTATATGGCCACACGACATTTGCCAAAGACCTTGTAATAACAAGATGCATAACGCCAATACATTTGAATTGCGTAAAAAGCGGAAAATATTTTGTCGATGCAGCGATTCAGTTTTAAAATAATAGAGTTTGAGTTTTTTTTATAAATGTTATGAAAATATTTTTTTGTTTATTTTTTTTAAATTTAATTGAACCTTTATTTATTTTATATAATTCATAGAATTTTTATTTTTCGATTTAAACAATTTTGTTTTTGATTTAATCGATGTTTTCTAAAAGATCGAAAAAAATCTATGCATTATGTCTTTCTCTCTGGCTTTTAAGATTAATTCCAAGTGCGCTGGAATATATCTACAGCAATCAATCTTTTGGCGTTACTCATCTTTTTATAATAAGGTCTTTGCATTTGCGAACAGACGCCGGGTCGCAACTAAAGCTTTACCTATGTGTCCACTACACGACTGAAACTAACTTTGGTACGAATATCTAACAAAAACGAGGGAAACTAAAACTAAAGCTAAAACTGAGAAACAAAAAACGAAACGACAGACAGAGAAATTAGTACTTTCCAATATTTACATACATATACATAAGTCTGCACCAAAATTTGCACGAGAACGGAAAAGGAGATGCTATTCTTTTATAAGTAAATATCGTACATGGATGTTAGATGTCTAAGCAATTGTTCCTCGGTGTTGTGCTATCCTCCACCAGTGCGCCGGTTTTTTATCGCCAATCTTAGTAGCTGTAACACTGAGTTTTTGAGTTTTTACATATATATTGTATTTGTATTTTGTATTTCGAAGAGCCACGAATGTTTTTAAAACACTCAAATACATACTCGGGAGTCCTGGACTCAACACAACTAGTTCAAGCAACAATGTAACAGAGACAAGGAAGACAAGGAGCAAATGTGGCCAAGAGAGTTCGCACTGTTATATTGTTTTCCCTTTTTATATAGACAATTTACTAGGTGTCCGAATCTGAATTATGCGCATGTATCGAGGTATATTTATATTTGAATATGTGTATATATATGTAATTGATGTTTGAGCACCCACAAATAACGTAAATACTTGGTACGTGTGTGTTTTATCGTCTATTGTCTGACTGCAAAATGTTTGGATATACTTTAAACGGAAACCGGAAACGGATCTGAAATGCGAAGGAAACATTGTCCCCACACACACACACACACACACACACCATATTGCAAACCAAATAAAGTGTAAACTAATTGCCGTTGTAAAGACTGTCTTCGATTCAATGTCAATCCCAGCGGGCTCTCCTTTCAGTTTGATAGCCAAGTTTTCTGGGGGCAGCCACGTTCTGAAAATAATTTTTGTTCAAAAAACACTTTGATCATGGCTGACTCGCCGGAGGAGCGAAGGAGCAAAGAGGTGGCGCCCGTTGCGGCTCCGACCAAGGAAGCGGAACCGGGCAAGGGTAAGAAGGAGAAGAAGGACAAATCGGCGGCCGAGGGAAAGGATAAGGCGGCCAAGGGCGAGGTAAGTTCGGCTGCCAACTGGCGCATAATTTGGCCAACTATTGATTCAACAATGGCCACGGATTGCCACGGCGACTGGTCCGTCAGGCAATCTGGTGGCAGGCAATGGCTTAATGGCATAATCATTTGTGGTTTTATGGCTAACCGCGACGCACTCGACCCGACTCCATTTCAATAAATTCGAACGTCGAACATCGAACGAAATGACAGCCGCCGCGGCAAAAAACTGGTCGGGCCTGGTGACTCTGTGCCTCGGCCAAGAGCGTGAGAAGGTACCAGATTGATTTTGACATTAATGCTTGATGTCTTTTTAATGAATTGATGCATGTAACGAAATGTGAACATGGCAATGCATGCGCCTGTCTAGAAAATTGGCCAAGTCACGAACATCCCATCCATGCCCATACTAACAGCCACACTTGTGGTTTCCTTTCCATTTCGCCACCATGCAGAAGCAGCAGCTGAGCAACAGCCAGCGCGGATCGCTGACCAAGTCGCATATAGGCGTGGCGGCTCCCATGGGCATGGGTGCTGCCCCAGTCGCCAAGGTAAGTAGTTGCAGCTCCTGGCTGTGCATTATTTTAGATTTTTGTATTGTGTATAGCCAACAATGCGATATATGCCCACGTACCGCCTGGAGTCTAAGAATCCGCTGAACAAGGAGCGCGTAGAGAACATCATCAAGGCGGTGATGAACAGGCACTACAACGACGAGTACATGTTCCATCCCAAGCACTCTCTGCACATGGCGGCGCAGGTCAGCGAGGAGATCAAAAACCGTATCAAGCTCAACAACTACGACAGGTGAGAATGGGAATGGTTTACAAAAACATTGTCTCCCTCGTTTAACCTCGTCTTTTCCCAAAACCCAGATATCGCTACATAGTGCTGGTCACCGTGGGCGAATTTCTGATGCAGGGCCTCTATTCCATGGTCAACTTCTTGTGGGATGCCGAGAAGGACGGATTCGTGACCTACAGAGTGGAGAGGCCGTCCTACTTTGCAGTCTGCACCACGTTTTACCTGTACTACGATTGAGAACGGGCAACTCTTGGTGTCTTCTAGTTGTTATTAAAATTTAAGTTAATGTTAACATGGGTGCAGAGTTCATGGTGGATGCTGGGATGGGATTACCTGGCTGCTTCTTTGCCTTCGGGTGGATGGTTTCACTTTGTTCTTGGATTACACTTGGAACTTGGCACTATAAATCACATTTTTTGGACACCAAATCTTTGAACACACATTGGGTAGTTTTTATTTATTTTATTTTTAATTAGATGTATAATTGTTTGTTATAATATTGGTTGAGGCATAGATTATACTGTGACATCGAACTTCTATCTACTTGGGGTAAATGAACTGCCTTTGATCGTTATTACTACATCTCTGAGTGAACAGATTTACGATTGGTTATATTGGATATATATAAATAGTATATTATTTGAGAACACACGCAGACACAGCACATGCACTTGCCAACTACTCGGATTCATCATCTTCATGTTCGGTCCGTGGAATGACACTTGAACTCACAGAAACATAAATGTCGCATAAATTATAAACAAAACACCATTATTATATTCTGTTGAGAGCAGCCACAAGAAAACCAATGTAACAATTGCCAAACCCAATCAAACAGCAGAGACATTTTGGAGCAAATGCTACACGACGTTCTCTCTTCGGATGGAAGACGGATTCAGATTCGGATACGGATAGATAGATCGGATAGGATTTCGCGCACCCACATGCCAAACGAGAACACCAACTGGATGATAGCCCCCGGGATAAGTCGAGGGGAGACTGACTTCTGACTGTTTTGGCCAGAAATACAAACAACACTTTTTGCACCGAATTGTGGAAACTGCACTGCAAAAACAAACTCGTGGAAACTTGCGAAACTCGGTCATCACTTGCGTCTGCGTCGTCGTCTCTGGACAATCAGACCACTAACTTGGGCGCACTTTATGTCACAAGCCAAGGATCAGGCAGGGGCAGCGGCAAAACAACACAACTCAAAATATGAAATCAATTTTAAGCAACACAAAAACTGTTTCGTTTCGAAATCATTTCGCACTGGTTACGTCTGGATCGGACACTTGAATGGGGTCTTTTGAGGAGACTTTAGGTCTTTAATCATCCTCGGATGCACACTTTGACATGTTTAAAAATTGGAAAATTGTTACATTTGATGCATAATCAAAAACTTGTTCTTCTAGGAAACTTTTTTTTAAGCACATTTATAAAATATAGCATGTATATAAATATATATAAATTTCACTGTCACTAACACATCGAGAACTTGCTATAAAAACCATAAAGAGAGATCCTGTCTGCAAAAAGAACGGAAATTAATGATTAATTAATAGAGGGGGTCAGGGATCATGAGGTGTGTGGATGATGTCTCCTCGGTTCTGCTCGTTTCTCTTTGTGCATCATATGTGTATGTGGTGAGTGTGTGGTGTGTGTGCGTGTGCAAGCGGGTGTGCGGAGGACGCACACATACACGGCCCTGGCGTGTACGCGTCCCCAACTGCATCCGCCTCGCCTTGAGAGGAGCATCTAAGATACGACTAAGTTTTCTAGGATATATAGTTAGGTGTGACAAGAGGCTTCCCATGAGCACTGTGGCTAGTCGTTACCTCCAGTTTGTCCAGCACTTGCCTTTCGCCATCGACCATTTTAGGCCGTTCCGCCTCGCACCACCACAATGACGAGGTGGTCCTCCTTCAGGCCCTCTTCCGTGAGGCTGTGGCACGTGCGCTTCAGCAGCTCCGTGGAAAAGTCACAGGGCGGAAAGGCGTACAGCACGCCGGTGGCCTCCGTCTCCTTGTTTAGCAGCGAAATGACGCCAGCTGCCTCTTTCTGCTTGAGGTATGAGACCAGATTTCTCAGAGGTCGCGTCTGAACGCTGGCATCGTCGCAATTGGTGTCCACCGTGGACCCGGCCAGGCCCATGAATATGGCGTGCGAGGACGAAGATGCAATTCGCTTCTGCACATCATCCAGCTTGGGCGGATCCAGACGAAGACGCTGCGTGATGCGCAGATTGTGCTTGCCCTCTTCGTCCCGCATTAGCGACTCCACGATGTCCGTGTCGCCGTCAGTTAAATGGAATTTCGCCGGGAAGAGGGAGCTCTTGAGGATCAGTGCTCCGGTCCACACGGTGATGCACTTGCGCGCCACTTCCGGCACTGTGCTGGCCGATCCAAGGGCGTCATTGCGACGAGTCGAAGTGTCAGAGTCAGATCCGGGCGAGCGAGCTCGCTTCATGGGTGATCGGGATCTTGACCGTTCCACACCTGGTTCCCGGGAGCTAGAGCGAGCTCCCCTGTCATATGATTCACCGGGAGGACGCCGCCACTCGTCGTCAGCTCCACCTGGCGGGGGCACCGACGAAGACGATCCACTCAAGGAGCCGGGATGTGGAGGCCTGTGCACATCGTTGTGATAATGGTACATGCCTCGTCCTCTTCCGCGATAGCCACCACGACCGCGGTAGCCGCCTCTGGGCGGGTATGGAGAATATCCACCTCTTGGAGCATACGCTGTAGATTCCTCGTAATATGGATCGTACTCCGGACGGCGATACTCCAAGGCGCTCTCATCATACGGTGGCTTCGAGCTCTTGAACTGTGATACTGGTGTTGTCCCCGGCAGCTCGGCAAAGTCGGTGCGCAGACGTCGCTCTGGTCCACCCAGCGGGAATCCTCGCATCTCCTTCACCGCCGAGGTGGCCGCCTCCACGGTCTCATACTGAATGTAGGCGTAAGGCTCGCCCTTCTGGTACTCAATCTTCTTGATGGCCCCGAAACGGTCGAATTCTCGCTCCAGCTGGGTGACAGAGGTCCAGGCTCCCAAGCCACCGATCCACATGCGAGTGGCCGGGGTCACCTTGCCGTAGCCAATCTTGCACTGGAACTTGCCGATATACTGGCCGGACAACTCGATTTTAGCCCGATGAGCCATGTCCAGATTCTGGTAGCGCACGAAGGCGAACGCATTGCCCGTTCCAGGTGGCGGCCGTTTGATATCGATATCATCAACCACACCGTACTTGCCGAAAATGCGCCGCAGCTCGTCGTCGGCGATAGTCACCTCAAGATTGCCAGCGAAGAGCGTGCGCGTTGAGAGTGGGTCATCCTCGGGCTGCACGTGGTGCAGATAGTTCGGGAACTTGTCCTTCTTGCTCTCTGGCTTCTCGTATGGCGCATGTGGGCGTGGTGCCAGTGGTCTCATCGGAGCGTACGTATGGGGAGGCGCGTGGCCGTGGCCGAGGTGGTGCGGGTGACCGCGATGCAGCGGGGGTCCGCGAGGCGGATGCGGATAGTCGTGGTGCAGCGGTCGGTAGTCCCGAGGGTGTACAGCATGGGGGTGCATGTGGGGCGGACCGTACCGATCGTAAGGATCGATCGGCGGCCGTCGGTGGTCAAGGGGAACTCCGGGACCCATTGGCGAACGTGAATAATGATAACGTTCGTAGTCCGGCGGAGACATTGAGTGGCCACGGGGTCTGAAACATAAGGAGGTGAGCTTAACTAATCAAGATGACCATTAACCGAATTCTTACCTGTACTCCGGCCTGGTCGTGGACTTGTATACCGGCTCCACAATAGCCATCTTGTCGTAGATGATAAGACGCGGCTTGTGGTGCTTCGCCTCCCGAGCATCCTCGGGCGTACGGAAGCACACATAGGCTACCCTTTCGTCCAGATCGTTGGACAGTCGCACACTAAAGTCGCCGAACTTCTTGTACTCACGGTACAGCGTCTCCTCGATGAACTCGTCAGGAGCCTTCGGTGGCAAAGCGCTGACGCACAGAACCTTGTAGCCGGCGGGTCGCTCGGCCGGTGGAGGCCCGCGCATGTAGGGCTCCCGGTGCGGGGAACCGTACCGGCCACGTGGACTGGGCGAACGGTCTAGGCGGCGTCGCATGCGCTCCGGTGACATACGCTCCGGGGAGTCGCCCGGGACACCGCTACCGTTGTCGTAGCCCCGTCCCATGCTACGCGAGTTGCGCGACATACTGCTTCTGGCAGGGCCCGGGGAGCGCGACGCGCTGCGCTTCATGTTGTGAATTTTGACTGTGATGCGATCGGCTCCGGCTCCGTCTCGGTGACTACTCATGGGCGGCTCTTCCGGTACTCTTCTCGGGGTGGTGCTGCCTGGAATCCTCTGGCAAACGGGGCTTTTGGAAAACAAGAATAGTAAACGTTGTGAAAGTGCGAAAAATTACAGCCAAGCGGCGACGGCGGCGGCCAAGTGAAAAGAAAATGGCGGCCGCGGACAACAAAGAAAAAATCTCATTCTCATGTAATAACTTTAAAAATTGACAATTTCTGCTTGCCCTCCGGGCTCTTACCACTTTTGTTACTTCTGGCACTAGGTAGGCTGCACTTTTACTACACAATTCGTGGATAAACCTCGAATATTAAAATTTTCTGCGGCGGCTTTGCAAATTCTGTATGTGTTGAAAGGAGAAATGATAACTACGCCGATACCGATAACTGTTAGTGGTGGAGTGTGGCCTTATCTCAGATATTTTTTTTGATCGAAATCTGTTATCGATAGACTTTGTCGAGGCACATCGTTCAAAAAAATAAACCGGCAGGTAAAACAGAGTACAGGTAGAAAACCAGCCGCATTAAACTCTCATTATCTGGGCAGATGTCGGAAAACCCGAATGGGTGATTAAGAAAAGCTGTAGTTTTCTAGAACCCACGCAAGCCAGTTTTCTCCCTATAAAAACTGACGCCATTGGCATACAGATCTTTATTTCGAAGAGAACTTAACGAGAAATGGTCAACATTACGGCTGAAAATAAGACACCGGCGGTGGCGACTCCTGGACCCCGGCAGCTCCAGCTGGGCGGCCACGTAGGATTCGACACGTTGCCGGACCAACTGGTGAACAAGAGCGTGCAGAACGGCTTCGGCTTCAACATCCTGTGCATCGGGGAGACGGCTCTGGGAAAGTCCACGCTGATGGACACCCTGTTCAACACGAGCTTTGGAGCCACGCCTAGTACGCATAACCTGCCCAACGTGAAGCTAAAGGCGCAGACCTATGAGCTGCAGGAGAGCAGCGTGCGGCTGAAGCTGACCATCTGTGACACGATCGGATACGGCGACCAGGTCAACAAGGCGGACAGCTACAAGGCGCTCGTGGAGTACGTCGACTGCCAGTTCGAGGCGTACCTGCAGGAGGAGCTCAAGATCCAGCGGTCCATGGCCAGCGCTCACGATAGCCGCGTCCATGCCTGCCTCTACTTCATCTGTCCCACGGGGCACGGGCTAAAGGCCATGGATTTGGCATGCATGAAGCAGCTGGACACGCGCGTTAACATCATTCCCGTGATAGCCAAGGCGGACACCATCTCCAAGTCGGAGCTGGCTGGTTTTAAGGAGCGGATAATGGACGAACTGCGGCGCAACAAAGTGAGCATCTATCAGTTTCCCACAGACGATGAGACGGTGGCCGATACGAACAAATCGATGAACGGAGAACTGCCTTTCGCTGTCGTGGGCAGCACGGAGTTTGTGAAAGTGGCTGGAAAGCTGGTCCGTGCTCGGCAGTATCCCTGGGGATCCGTGCACATCGAGAACGAGACGCACTGCGACTTTGTCAAGCTGCGCGAGATGCTCATTCGCACAAATATGGAGGATCTGCGCGAACTGACGCACACGCGGCACTATGAGCTCTTTCGGCAGCGGCGCCTGCAGCAGATGGGTTTCGTGGACGTGGATAGCAACAATCAGCCGGTGTCCTTCCAGCAGACCTTTGAGTCGAAGCGCACCGGCCACTTGGCCTCCTTGCAGGCCAAAGAGGAGGAAGTGCGCCAGATGTTCGTGCAGCGGGTTAAGCAAAAGGAGAACGAGCTGAAGGACAGCGAAAAGGAGCTGCACTCCAAGTTCGAGAAGCTCAAGCGGGAGCATCTGGAGGAGAAGACCAAGCTGGAGGAGGCGCGTCGCCTGCTGGAGGAGGAGTGTCAAGAGCTGCAGCGGCGTAAGCAGCAACTGTCCAATGGGAATGGCAACGGGAACCACATGCTCACCCTGGGCCGAGGCAAGAAAAAGTAGTCTTCGAATCCTCTGGGCTTTCACTAAACCAAACGACAATAGGCAACCTCGATTTTATTACTCTTTTAGTTGGGCTTCGAATTTATTATAAGTTAAAAATCATGTTCACAAATTGCATAAATATATAAATTTCATAAATTATTACATAAATAAACAATTATAAGCTTGTAACCATTCAAATTTTATGATATACATTTCATTTTATTGTGAAACCCTTTAACAATTTTAAATTAAAATAAATACACGAAGTTTTAAATTACTTTTTGGATTGCGTTTTGTATTTCTTTCATATTTGGTATAACTATTACTTGAAAAAAATTAATATATATTTATTAAAGTTGGTATACCCTTGCAGTTTGCAATCGGATCTTAATGATCGTTGAATTTGTATCTAAAATTTTATATCATAATATTTGGGATAATCAAAGCTTAAAAATGTAATAACTAAGCCAAAAATTCAGTAATTTTAAATCGGAAAGCTGTTGTCTGCTAGTTTTTAATAGGTTAAAAAAGCTGCATAATAAATTAAAGTATTTAAAATTTTTGTCAATTTTTGAATATTTTAACGATGTAACCCCTTATAAAATTTTAAAAAAATTAAAGATTTTATTTTCTTTCCAACATAACCAAGATGACGCGCCTGTTAATGCTGATCAAGAATATATATGGTTTATAGGGTCGGAAATGAGTTCTTCACTGCGTTAGTAGCTTCTGAATACATTTAGGACATTAATTAATTATAATACCCTGCAAGGGTATACAAATTATTGCAATTATACAAATAATAATCAAAAATAAATAATGTTAACAAGTATACAGTTTAAGATTATACCTGTTTTGTATCTCTAAAATCAACCTAAAGACTTCCGTGGAAGTGCAAACCACCCCTGATTGTGGACAATATACCTGACTGAAATTACCTTAAAGGTCGATAATTATAGAAATCGGATACATTTCTTGCAAACAGTTTACGGAGGCCATAAACCATATGTGCCTCGCTGAAAGTCGCGAGTCCCTGGATTAGCCCGCACAGCTGTGTTTGAGCAACTTCTGGTTTGGCTATCCTGCCCGCCATCCGCTGCCTGCCCACCGCCACCATACTCAATCCTCTCTGCACTCCGCTGATAACGATGGCTGCTTCAGAGTGGCTCTCCCGCTCTCGCCGCCTCTCCATTGCTCTCTTGGCAGGCAAAAAACAGAAACAAAACCGACAACTGGCCAGCGTTTGGTGTGGAAAATATATTATAAATATGCTAACCTGGCAGATCGTAGCGCTGGGGTTAGTCATTCCAATTCTGGCAATGGCTGCGAGTGGTACTAAACTGGAGAGCGGCACGTGCCCGGCGGCAGCGGATGGCGATTCCGGCTGCGTAGGAATTCCTCCTCCGCCGGATCAGGCCCGCTACGACAACTACCGTATCTATAATGTGGAGTTCGAGAACGAGGAGCAGATTGCACTGTTCCAGAAGCTGGAGGACCAGAGCGACAGTCTTACCTTTATCGGCCACGCCCGAGAAATTGGCCAGAAGCTGTCTATTCTGGTGGCGGCGCATCGCGTTGCGGATTTTGCCGATCTCCTGGAGACCTACAAGTTGAAGCATCGCGTCTTGGTAAGCGAATACTAACTACTCCAAAAAGAATATTTTACTAATCGGTTGGAGACTTTGTTTAGACCTACAACTTCCAAGAGAAGATAGACCGTAATCTAAAGGAAGTTCAGCCTGAGGACATTGATGCCTTGCAGCTTGACTGGCAGCACTTCTTTCATCTAAAGACCATCTACGAGTGGATGGATAAGATGGCCGCCAAGTATCCCGATCGTCTGACTGTCCTGGACATGGGAACCAGCACGCAGGGCAACGCCATAAAGGGTGTCAAGGTATCGAGTAATCCGAAAAACAAGGCCATCTTCATCGAGAGTGGCATCCATGCTAGGGAGTGGATTGCCCCGGCCGCTGCCACTTACATAATCAATGAGCTGCTCACCTCCCAGGATCCGCAAGTGCAGAGACTGGCCCAGGAGTTCAACTGGATAGTGTTCCCCTGTGTCAATCCCGATGGCTACAAGTACACCTTCGAGCACGATCGCATGTGGCGCAAGAACCGCCAGTTGTTTGGAACCTGCCGCGGCGTGGACCTGAACAGGAACTACCCCGACCACTGGAACAGCGCTGGTGCTAGCAGCGACCCAACACGTTACGATTTTGCCGGTCCCTCCGCCGGAAGCGAGCTGGAAACGCAGCGCGTAATCGAATTCATACGCGCCAATGTGGGCAAGGAGCAGATCAAGACCTATATTGCCCTGCACTCCTACTCCCAGATGCTTATGTTCCCGTATGGCTACACTAAGGAACGCGTGTCCAACTATGATGATCTACAGGAGTTCGGCAAGAAGGCATCCGCGGCCATTAAGGCGGAGAGCGGAAGGGATTATGTGAGTGGCAGCCTGTATGAGACCATCTATCCGTCGAGCGGTGGCAGCATGGATTGGGCACATTCCGAGGCGGGCATTCCGATTGCTTACACTTTCGAGCTGCGTGGGCCGCCGGACAGTCAGGATCTGTTCATCCTCCCCGCCGTGGAGATCCTGCCCACAGCTAGCGAAGCTTTTACTGCCATTCGCACCATTGTGAATGCGGCGGCCGAGAAGGGCTACTACAAGTGAATATCCCCCGTTCTAGTGTTCCTGGAATGGAAATTTTTATACGTTCAACGATCTAGACAAACTTTAAGTGCACGACGATATTATCTTTATCTTTATACAAAATAAACTCATATAAAAACCACTTGAAGGGTAACCACCACTTAACGATAAGAATCAGACGGGATTTATGGTCAGATTAGGGTAATTCCAACCTATCAGAGTCAGGGCTTTGTGGCCATGGTAATGTGGTTTCTGGGCGAGAGACGGGGATCGAATATAGCCTCTATCCGCACTTGGCACTCTGTAAGAATATATTCTCGAGTGTATCAAAATAGCAGCTTAGTGTGTCCACTTACCATTCTCCATTAGGAATAGGCAGCGATCGTGGAGAATAATGCTCTCCACCAGAGGAGCCATCATTAAACGCAGTGTATAGAAACTCACGATCCGCTGCCAGTTGGACAGGTCCGTTTCAGTTTGCTCGTTACTCAAAACCCGACTGTCCAGAGCTTCAAAACGAGTTCCTTGGACCGCTCTCTGAAAGTATCTGAAAGATAAACAAAGACTGGTTATAGATTTTTTGATATTATTTATTATTTTACTTACTCGTGAAACGTCATGCCCGGTGAGTGCTTAACATTGCGCAATGCACAGTGCCGGAGATCTGGAAATTGTTGGACAATGATGCGTTCAGCGGCAGCTCGGAGGGAGTGAATCCGTAGATGCTCGTTCTCCCCAGCCCGTAGGCGATCCTGGTACACTTCTGTGGCATGGCAGGAGATCTCCCTGGCCTCGTAGCTCAGTTGTGAGCAGGACTTTGCATTGAGGAACCTGCTCAGCGGGTAACCATTTACTCGTTCTCTGGGATGCGTGGCCCGGGTGGTCATCTTCTGGTAGCAGCAGCCCACAAAGTTAAGGAACTTGGCTTGCGGGCAGCCGAGGAACATGCGCATCAATGTCGGGCCCAAATTGCCGCACGGATGCAGTCCGATGATCCCAAAGGTAAAGTTGTCGTTTTCCAGCCCCAAGGCACCCCGGATGCTGGCGAGGAACCGCTCAGGCAGTGTGTCGCTTTCCAAGCGCTGTGTTAGGTGCTCTGGTCGCTGGAAGTGGCTTGTGTCTTCAGTTTTAAGGTGTTTGGCTGCCATGGATTCCAGTTTAAAGTCAATATCCCTGGCTTGCTGGTTGAGATCCGGCTGCATCTCAAAGCAGCACACACGTATTCCGAAGCCATAGCCAAGGACGCGCGCCAGGTGACCCACTCCCGCTCCAAAGTCCACTATGAAGTCAACAGGTGTCTGGCGATTGCTGAGCGCACAAATCTGTGCCATCCGTTGGATCTCATGGTATTTTTTGGGTTTCACTCGCTTCGTAAACATGTGCTTCAGCTTGGGATGATCCAGCAATGGGCATGGCAAAGAGTTCTACAACGGAACGAGGTATGAAAACTTTTCGGAAGAATCTTGTGGCAGGATTTTACCAACTTCGGGTGCGCTCCTAGGTGTGCGGCTAATGCAAAGATGCTGCAGCTCCCGTCGAAGTTCTATCAACTCCACTGGCCATCCTTGCTCGTGCGCCACATCCTCGTTTTGGAGCAACTCGCTCAGCCTCTCTAGGGGTATATTCGCCAGGTGCCGCTGCCAGTCTTCAGGAAGTTTACTCCAATGGTCGTCCAGAAAAAAGTCCTAGAACTGAAATGTTAGGGGGAAGCAGGCGTAAGACTCCAATCAAACCCACCAGAACATAGGCGTCCAACAACCATTCGTATTTCTTAAGCAGCCTTAGGCTTTGCTCAAGCTTTTCTTTCAGAGCCAACATAGTGGAGATCTTTTTAAAAAAGAGAGCATCTGATATAATATTGCACTGTTGTTTCCTTTTTATTATTATTTTTGGAGCACAGATCCGCGAGGTAGAAACGTTTTTCTGCCTCGGAAAATTTAATTAGCTCCGCTTGGCCACACTGACCGCAATATAAACAAATATTTATTTTACTTGTATTAATTGTAAGCACCACAACATGTTCTAACACTAATTTATAAATAAAGATATTTAAAAACTTTTTAAACAATTTTTTAAGGATCTAAAATTGGTATATTTCAGTATGGGTTTAGTATTTTATATCGATAGTCGGCATATTTACTATCGATATCGAACCCGAAACCAGTTTCGATATATCGATATAGCGATACCCATCTCCAAGTTTAGCCCCGCGACCAATTTGCATAAAAACATTTGTTTGCTGGGCCCAAGCACACGGCGTGCGCTTTATTCCGATTCTAACCGCCTGCAGGTGCTAGCTTCCGCCCTGGGAACCAAGCCGCCGTCGCCAGCACCCACTCCGCTGCAAGTGCACATGCAAATCTAATTCTGACAACAACAAAAAGAGCTTTGGAGCCTATTGAGCAGCGACTTCGAGTGTTTTGTTATTCGCCGCATAAGTCGTCCCGTTGCGAATACTAATGCGAATCGAAAGTAAAAGCTAAAGGCCATAAACGGTAAATTATGTAAAGTATTGGGCCAACAACAAGTCGTTCGTGGGTGCGTGTGTGTGTGTGAGTGCGCTTATCAGAAAAGTTTAATGGAGGCTGCGCCGGTAATGCGTTCTCAGTCTCCATTTCTCCTCCCACATCTTTAGCAGCAAAGGCAACAACAGCACGGCGCGGCGAACAACAAAGTAACGGTAAATAGTCGCCCTTTGTCGAGCGGGACATAAAAAAGCACAAGTCGCCTTGCACATTGGACACCATTTTTCGCATCGCTAGTTCAGTGGGACACCGCACACATCGCTCCACATAGCATCATATGCTGTAGCTACATACATACACATATTGCCCTCACCTTGCACCCGTCATCTCATCTCGTCGTTTGGCCCTGCGCCAAGAAATTAACCCCATCAAGGCGACCACGCGGCTCAAGTTGAGGGCGTTAACAGATGCAGTTCCCTTGGATCAGTGAGTGGCGCCTATATGGTCTAGTTTTTGTTCTTGCTTTGAGTTTGTGAAGATTTCTAGCGATCCTTAAAATTTTATTTACGAAAACTTGCCCAAAATTTTGGTTCTGGTTAATCCTGCGGTTTTTATATTTTTGTAATTTTTAAATTGTGTAATCTTACCTATGAAAATTCGTATATTTTTTAGAATCTGCTGTTTTTAAACCAAATATTTATTGTATGTCAACATTAAGATCTGTTGGCTTTTGTTGCTGATCTTAATTATTTTACTAAATCACTAGACGACTGATATTATTTATTTATTTATTAAACAATAGGGATAAATGTACACAAGAAATCCTTTTTAAAACTTAAAGAAAAGCTTTAATAATTATGAGTAATATATTTTAGTTTAAATGAGAGCCACAGCACAATATTTATTTAAACTTTGGGCTTCCATTAGATAATATTCCTCCACATTTCGCATAAAGATAAACAGGTGAAGTAATATAATTTCTATGCGAATTATACCTAAAACAAATAAATCAATCTATGTTTGTTTACCCAATTGACAGAGCAGTGTGCGCAATGAATGTGTATTTATTTAAAATGGCCAAAGACCTTGCCGCAAACATTTCATTCTAAAAAAAAAACTTGCAATTGATAGACACTTGTTTATATTTTTCATTAACAGGTCGCGAAATAATGTTGACAACCGCAAACTGCAGCCGCTATAATAATGAAGAGGACAAAATAAACAAATAAATGCTCAATGACTGACATTTGCGTTGTAAGCAAGAATCTATCGAGCCAGCGAACTACTATGGTTTAATGCGAAATAACAACATCAGAGTCGACAAATTTGCCACTTGGCTGAAGAAGGAAAACCCAGAAAGCCATCAGACTGGAGGCCTCACTCACCCTGAAGCGCATCTTTGCCCGCAAAATTGGCTACAAGGCGAAGTCCAAGTCAATTTTAGCGGCCATGCGCACGAAACACTTGATCCTGCTACTGATCGGAGTGATAATCGCCACGATCGTCTTCATCGCATTCGGGCCAGCAGGCGAGCCGAACGATTCATTCAAGAACATTGTCGTCCAGACCCACCAGCAGTTCAAAGAGTTTCAGGTGAGTCACAAGGGGCCATGGGCTTGGGGTCTCTGGAGTGTCGACCGCCGATATGGATACTCCTCGCCCCAAATTGGGCCGAATGGCTTATAGATAAGGGTATTAAATAACAATTATCTGCTCCTATCTGGCGCTTGCCCGTTGAAACTGTCACAGATAAATAGGGAAAACATAAACCCCCATTGTGCACTTTTTAAATTCAATTTGTGGCTCCTACGTATCTTTCGATATGAAATGCACCCGGTGCCAAGTATCACAAGGGGGCTTGGGAAATCAAATGTGAATCTAATTGATTTATGAAGTCGGCCACGTGTATGATTCATAGTTTTTACTATCAGCTGATAGTTTAATGCTGATGGATGGCTCTCCATGTCAAACGCTGGTCGGAGTCAATTGCTTTTGGCAGCGTCTCGCTAAAAGCCGGCCAATTTAGTTGGCATCAAACTTGGCCTTGAACTGTGTGTCCGCCCAGGCCACGCCCACACACATGAGAGCACTTTAGGCTTTCAGCCAAATAGAAGCACGTCCCAAGAACTAGATACGCCAGGCAGTCTGCCACATTTGGCCAAGACAAACGGGCCGGCACTAAATCGAAAGTCATCCGTTGGAGGGGAAGAGCGGTTCAGGTTCAGGTTCAGGTTCGTTTGGGAACACAAATCTATGGGCAATGTTGGCTGTGTTTACTCAACTTTGTTTGCGTTTCTCATGCCAAAAACGTTTACTGTTTACACCAATTAGATTCCGGCCGGAGACAGAGACCGGCTGCGAAACCGTGCCCAGTGTGGGGAGCTTTGGTTAACCACTGTTTGTCCTGTGACCTGCGCTTGATCCGTTAGGGTTCACCTTAAATATGTTAAATTACGATGGTCATCATTCATCACTTTATGCCGTCTGATAAATTGGACAATGCGCCGCCGCGATTCCTTTCTCATCACGTACGCATATAAAACCAAATATAATGGGCTCGTAAAAAACAAGAGTCTTTGCCTCGCAGTTTACAACTTGTTTTGTGTTATCTAAGTCGGGCAAACAAGAGAAACGTACAATTTCGGTATCATGGCAAACAGAGATAATGGCAGCATTAATGAATGATATCGCTGTTTTGATAGGGATCAACTTGTCTTCCAAAAATCAGAGCGCAAATAAAATTGGGTAAAACCAACATTCTAGTCGTGGATTAAACCCGTTCCCACAATTGTTACAACAATAAGGTGAGGCATTGTTTTCCGTAGTATTAGACCATATTGCATTTTTCACTAAACTGGTTTTGCGAATACTTAAGTAACTGCCTAACTTGAGTAACGTTCATGTGTTCAAGTCAATACCCACTTAATACAGATGTAAGCAATCATATATGTAGACTTGCAATTGAAGTGAGTGAATGAACATGACGCATATTAACGACGACAACGACGACTTCCATCAATTGTCCAGGAAAGAAGAGGAGCTGTCAAGACACTTTAATTCATCAGCAATACCCTTATCTAAAATTAAATATATATTCTGCGCAACCAGTTGCATTTTATGCATCGAATGGGGAAAGATTATAAATCTTAAACCTACTGGCAGGCATACTGCCTTTATCTTTTAATATATAATTAATCTTTACCCACAACAAGTCCCCTTGTCTGGGGAAAGTTTATTTTTGAATGGGACAAACGTATGGAAAACGCAGGTTTATTTTTATTAAGCTCACCCAACAATTTTCATGGGAACTAAACAGCTGCTTTAATTTACTAAGTGAAGACTTTAAAGTTTTAACCAATAATTTGTTTACAGCAAAACGTTTTCTTTATTCGCCTTAATTGCTTTTCAAAAAGCTGATAAGCCATTTATGGCATTATATTTTCAGTTTGTCCTTGCCTATCTGATTTTCCTCCACGGAACCTTATAAATTATTAAAGCCGACCTTTGCCAGGCCATTTGTGTCAACTTATGGATGACACTAATCAATGACTTAAATTGCACCGATGGCCGAGAGAGCTTTATCAATGTGTTTGCACAGCGATTACCAATATATTTCATAGTTACCCATGTGAGGAGTACCTATAAGCAAACGCCATTGATTGCCATATTGCGCCCTGACAGCCGTCGCGACGGTTGATTGTCGTTTCGCTGAGGCCATCACATGCAGAGTAATACAATTAAACTATGGCTGGACGATAATCTATTTAAATTATCCATAAGGGGCGGGGCGCTGGACAACGATGGATCGACTGACCCCGTGACATTTGATTAACCTGAATAAATTGTAGAAGTTTATGTAATTTGACTAATTTTCAGCGGAGGAGCTCGCCGGGGAGTGGGCCTTAGAAATAAATAACATTTGACATAGAGCTTGTACTCTTAAAATTAAGTTTATTTGTGAAGGTTTCTTAATGGTTATGTGAAAGGAAGATCAAATCTTAAGGCAGGAATTTCAAGGCTTGATAACCGAATGCAAGAACTCCTCCCAAGTTATTTTTCCATCGCGATCCAAGTCCACTTCCTGGAACATTTCCTCAAACTCCTCATCAGTGAACTTGACTCCCATAGTTGAGGCGATGCCTCGCATTTCGCTGGCCCTAAAGGAGCCCATATTATCTATATCGAAGACTTTGAAGGCGGCCCTTATGGATTCAATGTCATACAGTTGCTGGTAGGTCTTCGTCACGACGTTGATGAAATGTTCCACAGTAATTGGTTCGTTGGGATCGCTATAAAATTCCGCAAACATATCTGAGACCTCGGCTTCTGTGCGATATATTCCTAGGTCATGCATTGCCTCGCCAGCATTTGACAGATTTAACCCTCCAAACTCGACGCTTTCGTATTTGGCCAGGACTTCGTAGATTTCTTCGACCTGTTCTTGGCTCAGAGCACGCATGTTAGCTCCTTCTTCGTCTTGATTTTCCTTGTTATCCATGTTTATGTTAATTATTATTTATTATATATATATATTTTTTTTGTTATTATTTATATTTATTTATTTTTTTAGTGTTTTGATAGGGGGTGTTGGGTGTTTTGCTCCCAGTTTGGGAATGTTTATGTCTGGTTTTACCTAGCATTTTTATAGATGGTCCTGCCAAAGCCTTCTCATTTCAGTAAAATTGAAAGGTACAGGTTTGGAAATACATTAAGCATGTTCGCTTCTTTTGGAGAACAACAGAGCCTCAGCCACTCAGAAAATCACACTCAGTGGAAGCAAATACAGTATTTTATGGTGCATTTCATTTTATGTACTTTGCAGGCAAAGCGAGAAAGAGATAAATGCAAAACATATCTCATCGGTGAAGCAACGATCGCATCGTTTAGAACCAAAACTGTTCCCAGTTTCTATCGATCCTCCTTATCAATTGCAAACCCACAAATTTAGTTGTTTTAATGTTTTATTATGAAAGTGAGCAAGCTATGTTTAGCTATTGTAGGCTGAGAGAAAGTCCCGAAGATTTATGACACCATCTCCGTCCACGTCAGCCTCGTGGAAAACAGCATCCAAGTCCTCGTCGCTTATTTTCTCTCCAAGGGTGGCGTAAATAGCGCGCAGCTTACTAGGAGTTATGGCACTGAGGCCATCGCGATCGATTACCTTGAAGGCGGTAACCAAATTTTCCTTTTTTTCGTATACCTTGTACTTTTTGGTCATAAAATGGACGAAGGAGCGAAGGTCTATTTTACCGATGTAGTCTTCGTCTAGCTCCTCAATAATTAAGTAGATCTCAGCTTCAGTGTAATTGTAGCCCAAAGCCTGCAGAACAAATACAAGATCATCGGAATCTATCAATCCAGAATTTTCGGGATCGCAAAGAGCGAATGCCTCGCGGATTTCCGTCATTAGGTCTTCGTTTAGAGTATAGGTAGTATGTTCATCCATATTGTAGATATTGATGCTATATTAAAAGAAGTAAAGTATTTTGTTATAGTTGAGGTGGCAGAATATATAGTTTATTTAAATTTACTTGTATTTTGAGATGTTTCCGGCTTCAGTGATTGAGGAGTACTAAACTCTTTCCAACTCTCACCTAGACGTTTGACAAAGCCTTTTGACATTTTAAGACGCAGACTGCTTAGTTTTTAGGTAAACATGATTGTGCCAATAAGTAGCGGACAAATTCAATTTAAATTTGGAAATTTGTTAGCTTTTCTCTGTACATCTATTGCTGCGAAAATGTTGACGACAAGGAGTAGCAGTAGTTCCAGTAAAAAGGCGCATAAGCAAGTGAAGAAAAACTCACCAGATAAGGTACATAAACCGTCATATCCCAAGTCGGTGGCCTTTATCATCAGCAATGAGTTCTGCGAGCGCTTCAACTACTATGGCATGCGCACCATTTTGGTGCTATATCTCACCCTGAAGCTGGGCTACAACGAGGAGACTGCGACGGTGCTCTTTCACACGTTTACCATGCTGGTGTACATCTTTCCCCTAATCGGGGCCCTCATCGCCGATGGCTGGCTGGGCAAGTACAAGACAATCCTGTATTTATCGATGGTCTACAGTCTGGGCGCCATGGTCCTGGCTTTTGGGGCCATTCCTCTAATAGGGATGCCTGTCAAAGCGGTGACAATAGTGGGTTTACTGCTAATTGCCATTGGCACTGGCGGAATTAAGCCCTGTGTCTCAGCCTTTGGCGGCGATCAGTTCTCGCTGCCCGCCCAAGCCAAGCAGCTGGCCAAGTTCTTCTCGCTCTTCTATTTCGCCATCAATGCGGGCTCCATGATCTCCACCACGGTCACTCCGATCCTGCGAGCTGACGTGCAGTGCTTCGGAGACGATGACTGCTTCTCGTTGGCCTTTGGCGTTCCGGCCGTGCTAATGGTTATCTCCGTGCTGATCTTTATGGCCGGCAAGGGGATGTATCGCTGTCAGCCGCCGGCAGGGAACATGATCTTCGGAGTGTCCAAGTGCATTGCAAGCGCATTCAACGGATGGAGGAAGCGAAGGCAGACGGAGCCGGAGAAAAGCTTTCTGGACTATGCCAAACCGACAGTGGGTGCTCAAATGGTGCAGGAGACGAAGGGCCTGGTGCGGATTCTGCGCCTCTACTTGCCCTTCCCCATCTTCTGGGCATTGTTTGACCAGCAGGGCTCCCGATGGACCTTCCAGGCCACCCGCATGGACGGCAGGGTGCTGGGATATCAAATCCAACCCGATCAGATGCAGGTGATTAATCCCCTGCTCATTCTGGCCTTCTTGCCGCTGTTTGATTTGGCGGTTTATCCCCTTCTCCGTACCATTGGTATCCGGAGGCACCTGCAGAAGCTCACCATTGGTCTGCTACTGGCCGCCCTCGGTTTCATTCTGTCTGCGGTACTCGAGATGAAGATGGAGCAGGCAGCCTTTGAGGCCATGCCCACCAAACCTGACACTGCTCACCTACGTCTATACAATGGGATGCCCTGTCGCTACGAGTTTGTCAGTGGCTTTGAATCTTCTTCGGCGAAGCACCCAAGGACCATCGATTGCATGGGCATGTGGGCAGATCTGTCGCTGCCTGTGGCGGAGCCCAGGGAGTATTTCTTCAAGGCGCAACCGCTGTCGGGCAAGTGCTCCGCCATTACGGGGATGCTACGCCTGCAGCCGGGCAAGTCTATTGGCTACTTTCTAGCGCACGACAAACTGGTTGAGTTTGCAGATGGCCTGGATATGACATCCAGTGCAAACGGTCCACCTCTGTTGCGAGCTCTACTGAATACGCCGTTTGAAGAGGGACCTGTCCTACTCTCTTCACCTGGCTCCCACACCAAAGCCCTTTCACTGCACAACAGGAATGAGTCTCAGTTGCACAAGATTGCTCCCGGACCGGTCGAGGTCAACATTAACGCGTTGAAGGCAGCCAATTTCATGACCAGGGCCGGAGGACTTTACACCCTGCTGGTGGAGGGCAATTCACGGGATGGTTACCAATACAACATGCTGGAGGTGGTGGCCCCCAATGCTGTGTCCATATTGTGGCAGCTGCCTCAGATTGTGGTTATGACGGCGGCTGAGGTGATGTTCTCGGTGACCGGACTGGAGTTTTCCTACTCGCAGTCACCGCCCAGCATGAAGAGCGTGATCCAGGCCTGCTGGCTGCTATCGGTGGCCATTGGCAATCTGATTGTGGTGGTGATAGCCAAGTTCAAGTTTACCAGCTCGCAGTCCGGCGAGTTTACGCTCTACGCCAGTCTTATGCTGGTGGATATGCATCTCTTTATGTGGCTGGGACGAAACTATAAGTACAGGGATGAGTTAAAGGAGGAAGAAGCTCTGCCGCCGCTAAAGAAAAAGCAAGATCCTCGCGGGGCGAATGAGAACCAGCTGGAGAGCTCTAGGGGCAGGGGGATAAACCCCGGCTATGGTGCCCATCACTTTAAGGACTTTTCACAGGCCTAAGGCAGCTCCTACCTTTTTTTGAGTCTTATAATATTTATGTAGTAGAAACTAATGATTTATCTCAAAATAGGCTTATTCAAGTCTTAAATAAACAAAGAGGCTTATTTAAATTTCTTAGTTTTTAGTTTATGTTTAAAATTTGTAATCGTAGCCATGTGAGCTTTACCCATTTCCCTAATTTATGGCACTCATTTACCCAGTAATTTCCAAAATACTTAGAAATTAGTCATTTTATGGTGTAGGGCTTGGGTATTTAGTTGTGAAATGAGTCACCCCACTTTGAATTTTTGTGTGTTTGCCAATAGATAAGATTCCCACTTGAAGTGCGAACTGTGATAATCATCAAACTGAATATAAGAACTTAAAGCTCTTGGGCAGAAATATACTTCTTCCCTGACGAAAAGGAAGAGGTCTGGCGAAGAATGCTGTTTTTCGAAATATTTATATTGGCATCGTAATCGGCCTGTGGCTCCTTTTTTAAGATTGGTCGCATTCGCGTGGCCAGCGATTCCCTAATTTCCATCAACCCTTTCCCTCCCACCGCCACTCCCCAATGGCCATTAAGCACATGCGACCATTTCGGAGTCACGCGCCCAGACACATGGTCACCACATTGCTGGCAACTTCTTGGGGCGAGGTTGCCGACTCTCTGGCGCTGCCTTCCGCTGAGCCGTAGGAATTCGGAGCCCTTGGTAGAGTGGAAAAAACTGCCTTAAAGTGGTATTTATTTTTTTTTGCAGGAAGGGGTTTGGGTTCGTGTTTATTTGGTGCTTTGAATTTGGAATTCTTAATTTAACTTCGCATGACAGATACGAAATCGGTAAAGGTGACTTTCCCATCGTTATCCAAATCGATATCCCTGAACATCTCGCGCAACTCTTCGTCGGTTATTTTCTCGCCAAGATTGGTCATCACTGCCTTAACTTCCACAATGGTGAAATAGTCCACATCGTTACGATCGAAGATCCTGAAGGCCTGTTGCAGACTAACAAGACTGTTTTGCTCCTCCAGCCGCCTGGTCATCACCTGGAGGAAGTCCTTGAAGTAGATCATGCCGTCATTGTCGCAATTTTCGTTGACCAGTGTGAAGAGCTCGGCTTCCGTTAGACTCTGGCCCAGAGTGCGCATCACCTCCCCCAACTGTTTGCTAGTCACCAATCCGGAGTACTCGTTGTCGTACACAAAGAATGCTTCGCGGATCTCCTTAATCTGGTTATCCGATAAGCCACTCATGTTGTAATTGTTTTTTTCTTTGTTTTTTTGTTGTATATATTAATGTAGTTTTGTGGATCTTTGGGTTGTGTTTCAATGTCAACTCCCTTTTTAAATAAACTGAAAATATAGTAATGACATAAAAGTCAAAGGGACCTCCTGCGGAAAAAGGGGAAAATTATTTTACAAGTTACGTTACAGTTACTGGTTACTAGTTTAAAGTAAAATTACCATGAAAGGAGGTTATCTCATCGTCATCATGTTGACAAACTCCTCGTAATTGATACGATTGTCCTGATCTAAATCGTACTCGCGAATAATTTCCTCCAGCTCCTCGTCGGCCACTTTAAAACCCAGCGCGGTCATGACACTCTTCACCTCGGTGATGGTTATATATCCCTGATTCTCCTTGTCAAACACTCGGAAGCTATCACGCAGCTCGTCCTCGTGATTGGTGTCGCACATCTGGCGCAGAATCACGGCACAGAATTCCGGAGCCTCAATGGACCCATTGCCGTCCGAGTCCACCTCGTTAATCATAGACTGAACCTCGTTATCAGAAGGCTGACGACCGAGGGCGCGAATTACCACTGCCAGCTCCTTGGAGGTGATGGCACCCTCGTTTTCCTTGTCCATAATTTTGAATGCATCCAAGAGCAATGTCCGCTCTTCATGCGTCAGTTCTTCCATCTTGATTATCAGGAGCTGAGCAATATACAGAGACTGTGTTGGAATGTGGCTCTATTTGGGGACGTTGACTACGTGGGACTGGAATTTCCCCGGTCACTCGGTTGCCTGTGCAAAGTAAACAACTCCACACATGGGGCCTTGACATCGAAATCGATTCCTGCTACTGCAAGGCAAGGAAAGATTGAAAAATGAACATTCCCAGTGGCTTCATTTCGGTGCAGTATGCACAAAGCCGACACAGAATTGGCACAAAATCAATATGGGGCTGGTTATGTAAGCGCAGTGGGGCACGGGGGCATCGCTGATTGATTCGAATGTCCTTGGGCCTCCAGCTGATCGCCTCCAACTCTATGCCACCAACTACTATACGTATATCACCCATCAGCCATCAGCCGGTATCTGTTGTCGTTTGTTGTTAACAAAGCGACGACGAGGGTGTCACTTGTGGGGAGGAGCCCCACTCCTTGCCTCCTCAGGGGCGGCCACAAATGTGCACAATCAGGGTCGTTGCCGCACACGCGGATTTCACACGTAGACAACTATTTTTCCATATATAAGAATTTTTGGAAATTATACACTTTTTGGTCTTCAAAAGAATGGCCTTAAATATAAGCACTTTCTATGTTGCTCTTAAGGAAAGTTCTGACTCATAAAGGCCTCACAGGTTAATGGTCTTTGTCAAGTGCTTTCACTCTTCGGAAATTATAACTTTGTTTCCATCGATTGCCTTTATGCTTATAACTAGATTGCTAATAATATAAACAGACCAGAGAGACTGCGATTCGATTTTTTCTAAGTGCATTGTGACAAGTTAGTTGCCGGTGGCCCCCAGGTTGTCATGCCATTTGGTTTTGGCGACGCCTGGCCTGGGCCTTTGTTGGCGGCTGCCTTTTGCCGCAGGTTAATTTCAGTTCAGTTTTCCCTTTCACCTGAAATGCCTCCTCCCCCCTTTTCCACCGTCCACTACATGGCACACCTGACACCAGTTCTTGGCAGCAGGAGCTGGCGCAGGAGCATGTGGCACGCTCACCTCTGGCCACAGTCGAAACAAATAATAGACAGGAATTTGACAACGGCACGAGAAGGTTCCATTGTGCGGCGGCGTTTCTGTTTGAGTATTTGTTTTGGGGCCGCCTTATGGGGGGGGAAGGGAAGCGTGGGTCCTGGGAGCGTGCTGGTGGGCCGTAATATAAAGATTTCTCACATGTGTGTGCTTCCTGCGGGCCAACTAATATGTGTCGGCTCAAAATTGCTCCCATGACAGAGCGCATTCCGCCCTTGCGGGCCTATGGATTGCGGCCACATTTGCTTGACAATTTATATTGTAACTCCTGGACTAGAATCTGTGGAATTTTCTCTGGTAATGGTAAATCCTTGTTTTTGGCCATATCCCTAGGTTATGATGTAATTTAGAGTTATATTAAATTATCAAATAAATATTAAAAATGACACACAGTAGTTGTAATATCACCTTTTCTTACGTTCCTTGACTTATGTATTTTGGACATTTCTTGCAGGAGAACCTGCGCGTTGGCTTGGAACACAAGAAGTTTGAAATAGATCCAAAGTACTTGCTACTCCTGGGATTCGCGCCATCCAAAGATGCCTCATCCCAACAGCAACAGCAACTGGAACTGGAGCAGAGAGCGTCGAGTCACCAGCTGCCCAAGACAGATCTGCCAGCTTCAGCCACCAAAGCAGAACTGGAGCTCAGCGAGCTGCGAGGCCTGCAGCATGCCCAGGATGCCGTCACCTTCGGTGGCCGAGGAGGATCGCGTGAGCAACGGGGTCAGCGCAGGCGAATCACCACGCCCTTCAATGGCACCAAGAGCAACTTCACCATTGTCACCTATGTGCTGGAGGGGCAGGCGGCATCAGCCATCCTGCTGGCCCAGAACATTGCTGCAAAGCTACCCAGCGAGTACCTGCTCATCTATGATTTGGGCGTGTCCGAGGAACAGCTGCGCGACCTGGGCGTCTACTGCAACAACAGTCGGTGCTCGGTGATCACCTACGACCTGACGGAGTTCCCCTCCTTCGTCGGTGATCAAAGAACGCACGCCTACCGGCCCATCGTGATAAAGGATGGCCTGATGAGGGCCAAGTCGGTGCTGTTCCTGGAGAATCACATGAGGGTGCGGGGTGGCTCCGCTCAGTTGCAGAAATTGCAGAGCCGCGTCATAGGCGATGGATCTCTTGGAGTCCTTGGATGGAACACACCGACTGCTGTGTCCTCGCTGACACATCCCAAGATGTTCGACTACTTTGAGTCAAATGCTGAGAACTTTATCTTCCTGCGGATGGTCGACCTGGACGCAGTTTTCTTCTCGGACTCGCCTGAAGTCACCGAGAAGATCATGCTGCCCTGGCTGAAGTGCTGCCTCACCCTCGAGTGCATCGATCCAATCGGTGAGTTGTCCTCCCCTCCTACGATACGGAAAACTGTCATTAGGAATGTGTGTACATGGTACACTGCCCTCAATATAAATCAATCAAACCTACACTCTTGCCAACCCCCAAATCCCTAGCCTTAAGGTTCGGGTTGGTGGTATACTAATGACCACCATTTGCACGGCATTCCGTTGATGGCACTCACATCAGTGAAATTTATGTAATTACCATCTGAATTGGGATTGATGGCAAACATGACACTGCCTTTTTTGTTCGAGCAATGCTTTCTTACCGACCGGGAAGTTCCTTCCTAAGCTAAATAGTCAATAATATCAATATTTATATGCTGGCAGGGCATTATAAGTTCAGTCAGAAGCTAGTAACGCAGTGAAGGAGCCATTGCCAAACCTACAAATCTTGGCCATGTCTTGTAACAAATTTTTTACAATTTTATAACGGGTTACATCGTAAAAATTGATTTGTTAACCTAGAAAAAACAAGCACAGATTTTGTTTTGATAATCTTTAATTTTCCCAAAAATTCACATATAAAATTATAGATAAATATTTAAATTTCCGCTTACATTTACCATTTTAACTGCGTTTAATTTTGAAATTTTTATAGCATATAGCAAATGTATTTTATAAAGGGCCTACAGTTGAATAATTTCTTAGCAAACCTCCGTTCTAAAGCATTCGCGAAACATGCGAATAGCCTCCACGATTTTGCTGAAGAAGAGCATCCTCATCAGGCGCCAACAGCCCTTGGGCAGATCGCAGTGAATGTTGCATGCAGCATAGATGCATTCCTGCGGTCCCATATTGTACCCATGTCGGCCACAAAGCATGAAGTGGGTGTCATAGATGACGTACCATGCCTCCACAGTGCAGGCCATGGCAGAGAAAAGCTCCACCATTCGGTTAAGGCGGTAACCCAGCAGCAGGAACAACCCGAAGACGAGACAGATTATGGAAATGCCTCGAATCTGGGTAAATCTAAAACGCTCCTGGGAAGAGTAGAGCATGAGAGCCAGAAGCTCAAGAATCAGGATGACGGGATAGGCATAGACCTGTAAAGAAGTACATTAAATTAGGGAGAGTGCTCTCTTTGCTACTGGGATAAACTCACCCAATGTGTCTGCACCAGATTCAGTAAATACATACTCCTATTCAGGGAACTGATGAAGGTACTGAGCAGCAATACTAGATAGTTGTACGGGGCAAACCTCCGCCAATCCCTCCACACGTAAAAGCACGTATATAGGAACATGGTGAGCACCAGGGAAATGGGCATTACAGCTTCCATATAAGGCATAGGGTACTTTAGTAGCACCTCCAGACAGGGCAAAGTGCAGGCTATCTGTACCTGAAAATATATAACGTAAGCTGTTTGTTTTGGATTCGCACGAAGCGAGAACTTACAATTAGTATCCCAAAGAACCTTCGTACGAGCAGTCGTCGCTGACCAATATCCGCTATGTCAAAGTCATAAGTTTTTTGGAAATGTCCATTGGGCAGTAGGAGGTTACATTGTACAGCGATTCCTGGGACCTCGGATTTTTCCATCACCATTACCGTGTCCATTTCATCGCCCGACTGCTGTGACACTACTGTCTGATGCCTAATTATACTTTTGTATTTGATAAGCAACATTTTCCAGTTAATCGTTTATCTAATTCAGTGTGCTCCATTTCCACAAGCACATTTTCCGGCGCACACAGAGAAAAAACATATTGTTATAATTATTAATTATATATGTAAATAATTGGGATTTTATAATTTAGATTAATATCAAGAGAGATCAGTTTTAATAGGAAGAATATAATAATATTATATTTTATTTATTTTGGCTAGATTGTTTCGACTTTTGATGCTAATATCAGGAATATATTTATAAGGTTTTAAGGTCGTTGCCCTCTTCAAGGGCATTTAAATGAATATATATTTCTTAGTCGACACAGGAACATAAATGTTACAATTTCATTTTACTGATAAAAATGAATATATATTTCTTAATCTATGCAGGAACATAAATGTTATAATTTCATTTTACTGATAAAAATTGAGATGCTTCCAAAATATATTTAAAAGACGCCGGGTTCTTATCAACATTTTTGTATTATTTTTTGTTCACAATCAACAAATATTTCAGAAGAATATATATAAATCTACAAATATAATGTAAGGAATATTAACTAACCCGCACATTTTTGCCTTCCTGCAGGTGCCCAATCCAATGGCTGCAAGTTCAACAAGAAGCCACTGTACCGGTACTCCGGCTGTCATGGCTACGATGCGTCCGCCTTCAACATCGTGCTGGGTCTCACCTCCCACTTGGACAACTCGAAGTACTCGCTGCCCAGCGACAGTCCCCGGAACATGTTCTACAAGGAGACCCTGGAGCAGGCCACTCGAATACTGGAGAGTAGGCGGCGCAACAGCAGCGAGACATCCGACCATCCCTTTACGGACGACTGAGGAGGAAGTGGAGCAGTACCTTTGATTGGAACTGGACGTGGGACTAGCCAAAGCATTTGATACAACGTTTTCTACAGATACACACACTCACACACTTGACACACTCAGGAGCCGGCGGAACAAAAGCAAGATTAGTGGCGCCATTGCCGAGAATTCGGAAACAAAAGTCCTTAATGTAGATTAGCTAACAAGCGAACGCGCAAGCGTTTGACAAACGCTTTGTGTTGTCCTAGACCAGAGCACAGTAAATTATCGTAGTGTAGGCGTAGGATGTTTAAGATGAACGTATCAATACAATACATATAACAATTTAGTCAAGCCCTAGTTACTTACTTAACGAGATCTGCATTAATACCCCCTGTGCGTGCGACTGTTGCCGAGCATCGATAATTGTAATTTCCCGCGTTTAGTTAACCATCTGCCCCCCCTTCCCTCCCCCACACTGTACATACATAAGAAGGAAAATCAAATGGCATACATTTTGTGATTGTATTTTATAGTTACTCCACGTAGACACTCACGTATATAGTATATGAATATATAAATTTAATGTAAACTGTCCTAGAACAAGATGAGCCAAAAAAGTAAGTTAATAAAATCCTGAATTACCAAAACCAGTTAACAGGCCTTCCTTTTGAGCTCCAGCATCGAGTTCTAGTACGTTCTTGCAATAGTTTTGTTCTTATGGCACACATATTATGATTTCTCGGTTACTTGAGATTGGTCTAAGGACCCTTTCTTTCTGTGTCACTAGTTAAATTTCTCCAGAATCCGAAGGATATAGATCAATATCTGAATCACATCGACGTACAGGGACAGAGCAGCAAACACATACTCCTCGGGATCGAACTGATACTGGTGATTACCGCCGACCATCATCTGAATGTCGTAGATCAGGTAAAAGCAACCCAAGAGGGCGCCGAATAGGGAGATGGGCAAGTTGTTTTGATACCGAGCAAGCGGAGACCACAACATTGACACTGCCATAATGAAGAAGAAGAACGATAAAGTGACCAGAACAGCGCCCATAGCGGTGTAATCGATCTTGGTCTGCAGGGCGTACAGAGAGAGTCCAATGACCAATATGGCCGTGATTCCGACTGCCAAAAGGACTACATCGGCGTCCATGTAGCTCGAGACAGCGCCCAACAGGAGGGACATGGTAACGGTGTAGATCCCCAGGCAAACCAGGTTTATGGGATGCTTGCGACGCACTGTCTCCGAGAGGACTATGAGGATCGCTATCATAATGTTAATTAAAACAGCAATTATAACGACAATAGGGTTTTTTTGCACAAAGTACTTGGTGGGATTGTGATAAACAAACAAGGCCATTACGCCAAGTGTGAACAGCAATTGGACCTGCAGAGAGCAAACTGAAGTAGGTCCTAGGCAATGGATATATCTTTTATATACTTACCAGAAAAATTCCAAACACCTTTCGGATGAAACCCTTGCGTATACTTTGATCATCGAACACGATGTTCTTCAGCACCACAATTTCTTCAAGAATAACATAGTTCTCGCCGCCAGCAGCTCCAGTTTCCATCAAGTGGGCACCTTGCTCAGGCATTGAGCTTTTCACCTGCGATCCAGGTCGCAGTGGAGGTGCCGGCAGTGGGATCGGCGGATAGCGATCAGTGTTGTTGACAGGTACTAAAGGAGGAATAAATACAAATTTTTATTTAAATATGTAATCAGCGTCAAATTAGAGACGATCTAGCCAGGTGAGAGTGTATTTTGGAACTTAGAATCTGAAATTATATTAAGGATTTTCTTTGGAGTTTTGAAAATCTCACTTATGTCTTTCAAAATGGCTATTTAATTTTAAGTTTTTATAGTATTTACATATGTATTATTGCAAAAATAACTCTTATATTCATATTTAATATAATTTAATTTTAAGTTCTTATACATACATTCTATTAATGCAAAAATATGTAGTTTTATTTATTTATTTTGTTTCATATTTAGCCAAAAATGCAATTTAAACCCCACTGGAATATTTTATTCTTGATTATTCATTCTGCATGTGCGCATAAATACATACATACATACATTTGAATAAACAAATTCAGATATCGCGATATATTTTCGTGACTCTGGGGAATCCCCTTTAAATACTTTTGGAGTAATTGTTTCCGCTTTGCTATATAAAATATTTTTGCAGTACATAGCTGCAGAGAGAACAATAACCTTATCACTATCAACGTATTCTATAAATAAAAGCGGTTTTATTTCTATTAAATTAAGAGGAAATATTTTTCAGATTAAAAAAAAAAACTATTAATTATTATTCAAATATTAATTCCTAATTATATTAAGTATTTAATTTGTTATCCCATTTACTTAACTATATTATTTAAATTTGCATCAAGTGTATACATATAAAACTATCTGAGCATACAAAGCGATCGTTAGTATGCAGAATATTTATATTTTCAAACTTGAATGCAGCTGTACTGGGCTATCTATCTGTTGTAAATATTGACCCCCTTCTTTGATTTCTGTGAAACTCGATGAGTCAATTAAATCCTGCCGACACAGCGATACTGTTGCTCTTAGATGTAACCACACACCTACATACGTAGTTCATACATATGTAAATACACAGAGGATGCGGCAGAACTTACCGGCAAGTTCAGAATCAAAATCGTTCAAGGGTTGTGTGGCTTCACTTTCTTTTTTGTTTGGAAACATATTTAATAGTCTTTGTAATGGAAGACAGAAGTATGTATGTATATAGGTTTTGCTTTTCCGAAGTATCTGACCGATCCAGTGAGTGCCAAGTGAGGAATGCAAAACAATCTGAAAGAAATCTGGGAGTATCTGTAGGAACGGGTTTGGGCTGCCAGACTGGACGACAATATTTTATAATCGAGTTGCCTGAGTGCCACAAAAAAGCGCGCTGAAGTTTACAAGATTTCAAATATTGCAATTGAAAGCTTTCGAGGCCCTAGTTTGATTTCTCTTGTTTAATGAAAATAATTTAAACCTAAAAACAATAGATTTCCTTTGTTATTATTATATATATATATATATAATAATTATTATTGAAAGTAAAAAGTTAGAAAAAGTTCAGCGGAAAGCACAAATATGGCTGATGAAGCATCAGAATCGAAACCATTCGGCAACGCTGATAGCGAATGGTACTCACATGTGTACGTACAAATGTATCTAGGTACATATGTACATATATCAACCAGTGTTTTGGCCAAAATCACTTCAGTTGACTTGGGCCACAGCTTGCGAAGCCAGCAATTCGTTGGACTTAAACGGGTTCCGCCACCAGAAAGTAAAAGTCCACGCCTGGAGGGTGTTTGTTTGTGTGTGCAATTGGAAGATAATGAATGTAATTACAAAATCGATCGAGGCATTGTTCGTAGTGTCCATAATCTTGGGAGCTGTGGCCTACGATCCCAATGATCCCAAGATAGCCGAGTGCTGCCTTCCGCCCGAAGGGATGTTTGAGGCTTTTTACCCGCGGGAGGTGGAGGGAATCCCCAACAGCGCCTCGAGGCCCGCCCACGGGCACGGAAGCTTCTTTAAGCACCGCAATCCGGCGCTGGTGGACACCAAAAATGCTGCAGCGTATGGATACAGATTCGATGGCAAGCGACGCTTCAATTACGACTAGTAACCACAAATAAATATGATATTGAATACGAATATAATCTGAGTGTTTACATTGCGTATACGTAACATGATTTTGGAAGATGTTTTTGCATATCGGGGTTTACTTGTGTTAAAAGTGCTAAGTGTTATTTATTTATTTAATATTTTAGGATTGAAATATAATAATATAGCTTATAAAGATTTTAATTGGGAGATTTATTTTTATATTGATTTGTTTAAGCTTAGAAAAAGGTTCTTGTAAGGTCAAGTCGTTTTGATCAAAAACAAAAATGTAAACTCAGGAGAGCCGAAGTTTGCATACCCTTGCAGTTTTCAATTTAAGATTCTGGTATGATTTGTAGGGTCGGAAATTACTAGGAACATCACCCTTTTTTATACCCTGGCAGGGTATTATAATTTCAGTCAGAAGTTTGCAACGCAGTGAAGGCGACGTTTCCGACCCTATAAAGTATATATATTCTTGATCACCATCAACAGGGGAATCTTTCTAGATATGTCAGGAAGAAATCGATTTTTTGGCCATTTTTGCAAAATTTTTTAAGGGGTTACATCATTAAAATTTTTGATTTTGATAAAAAATTAAATTTTCAAAATTTTTAAATGAAGTATGCAGATTTATTAACTGTCGAAAATCTTGCACAGAACAGTTTTCCGATTTAAAATTAATGCTCTTTTGGCCGAGTTATGATATTTTTAATTTAAAAATAAACAAGAAGTTTTTTAATATAAAAAATCCGATTTTATAATACAAAATAATATTTTTCTAAGTCAAGGAATCATTTCCGACCCCATAAACCATATACAATCGTGGACATAAGTATTTTGACACAGCTGTTAGCTATATTCCAGCGCGTGTATCTTAGTACTCGTAAAAGTTACGGGATCCATTGTACTTTGCAGTAAGAGATTCTATTTAAAACTTTAAGAGAGCAAAATATGACACTGATAAGTAAATTAACTTCTTTGCTATGTCACGTGATGTGAGAGATCATGCATTTTTGGGTGGACAAAAATATTTTGACATTGCATTCATTTAGTTCTCATTTGTTTCGTATGCATTAAAAACAGTTTATTGTTATTTATAACTCAGGCTTATTAATCTGTTAGCAGCTTTAATACATTTTTGTCAATTTTCCTAATTTCTGTACCGTTATTTAATGAAAATATGGGTAAAACACGGGAGCTAAGCCAAATCCAGCGAAACGAAATAGTAATTAAGTACCACTCAGGTATTTCGGTCCAGAACCTCAGCATATTTTATAAAGTACCCCGACAAACCATTTACTATCAAATTAACAAATATAAACAGACAAAAGGGCGACCACGCAAGACTTCGCCTAAACAAGATCGTCTAATTCTTTCAAAATTTAAAGATAATGACCTTATTATACCAAATCCAGCTTCCATGGAAGTTCAAAACGATTATGATTTTTAAATTAGTAGAAAAACAGTTGAAAGAAGACTTAAAAAGGCTAACTTTGCTACTTATGTGGCCCGTCAGATACCTTTCATTTCACTTAAAAATGAGTTGAAACGATTAGCCTTTGCCAAATCCTTTTGAGAACAAATGTTGTGGACCGATGAGAGTTCTTTTGAGTACCATGGTTCAAAAAATAAAATTTACTGCAGATTACCAAAAAATATTCGCAAGAAAGTGGTACCTCTTATTCAACGTATACCACATGGTGGCGGCAGTGTCATGTTTTGGGGATGTTTCTGCTTTAACGGTATCGGTTATTTGGTCCCCATCAATGGGACGATGAATTTGCATATCCTGATTGACCACGAATTTCTTACCGGCGACAGACTTAACAGGCAAGACTTTATCCTGCAGCAGGATAATGTTCCATGCCACAAACAAAAATGATAACAACATTTTTCAGGGACTTTGAAGTAAAATCTTTAGATTGGCCACCCAAAAGTCCCGATCTCAAAACGTATGAGGGTCCAAACTTAACAAGAACTTGAGAGGAGACAATTTATTAAGTCGCAGGACTATGGAAGGAAATTTACCTTGAAACGCTTCAAAATTTAGTCAAATCTGCTCCAACACGATTACAAAAGGTAGTAGATGCCAGAGAAGGGATTATTTTTTACTAATTTCTACTCATTATTAACAGTTTTTGCAATTCAGATTAAATTTCTAACAAATTAGGTTATGTCAAAATACATTTGGCCTCCCACTTTAATGAATTTGTATTTTTAGTTTATAAGATGTAATAGAAAATGTAATATTTTTGTTGTTTTTTATTGTCTTATTACACTATTGTTATAAATAAATTTCATTGATCTTTTTTGGATAAATAAATTAAAGTTTACAACACAAAATGTGAATTTTTATTTATGTCAAAATACTTATGTCCACGATTGTATATTCTTGATCAGCATTAACATGCAAATCTTTCTAGACATGTCCGGAAGAAATCGATTTTTTGGCCATTTTTGAGAAATTTGATAAGGGGTTACATCATTAAAATAAGCAAAAATGGCCAAAAATTTTGATTTCTTAAAATTTTAAATTTGGTATGCAGTTTTTTTAAATTAATAAAAACTAACACAAAACTGCTTTCCGAATCGAAATTAATGCATTTTTGGCTTAGTTATGATATATTTTAATTGTTACCTGCAAGGGTATACGAACTTTGGCTGGCCAAAGTTAGCTTTCTTTCTTGTAATTAATTGGACATATTTAGTGACGTTGTAACGGCAGAAAACAACGATTGCTACCAAACCAAATTTCAAATATCGATACATCGATGTTTCAATCGGTATCGGTGTTTCCCCTCTAGTTCTGTGTGACTGCCCCCCCGACTGACTGACAGAAGAAGAAGAATTCAACATTTCTTTTTTCTTCAAAAATTATTTGGTTTTCAAAAAGAAAAAAATATGTTTCTGAATCAAATTCAAATATAAGTCACGCAAATTTGTAAATACCGCTACCAAAGCCAAATCAGAAGCACAACATGAACGCGCGCAGCATCGGCATGCTGAAATTGCTCAGACACACCTGGCGCACGTAAGAACCGACTGGGGGAGTGTGGGGCGGTTACGAGCCGGCGTAGAATCTAACCATTTCGCCAACCATCCCGATGATTACGCAGGTGTCCTCGCCGTTTTGCCACCAAGGTGACGACGCTGGGCGGCGATGAGATCGGCAGCGGCACTGGGATCGGACAGATCACTGGCGGCATGCGGCCGAGCGATGGGCCGCAGAAGGTTAACACGCCGTCCAAGGAGATTGTCACGCACCTGCCGCCCCTCACCGATCCATTGCCCAATCTGCCGGAGGCCGTGTACGCAGCTCCCCTGGCGGAGAGCGCCATCACCAAGGTGACCACTTTGCCAAATGGACTGCGGGTAGCCTCGGAGCCCCGTTACGGACAATTCTGCACCGTGGGTTTGGTCATCGATTCCGGGCCGCGGTATGAGGTGGCCTATCCCAGTGGCGTTTCTCACTTCCTCGAAAAGCTGGCCTTCAATGTGAGTGCCGAGTGTTGGGAATCTGTGGCCAAGTGCCTACTAACCGGGCTCTCGTTCCAAAGTCCACAGTCAACTTTCCCAACAAGGATGCCATACTGAAGGAGCTGGAGAAGAACGGCGGCATCTGCGACTGCCAGAGCTCGCGGGACACGCTCATCTATGCCGCCAGCATAGACAGCAGGGCCGTGGACTCCGTGACACGTCTGTTGGCGGACGTCACACTGCGGCCCACGCTCAGCGATCAGGAGGTTAATCTGGCCCGGCGTGCCGTCAACTTTGAGCTTGAAACGCTGGGCATGCGGCCGGAGCAGGAGCCCATATTGATGGACATGATTCACTCGGCGGCGTACAGGGACAACACGTTGGGCCTGCCCAAGCTGTGTCCGGTGGACAATCTGGACCACATAGATCGAAAGGTGCTGTTGAACTACCTCAAGTACCATCACTCGCCCAGCCGCATGGTCATCGCGGGAGTTGGTGTAAGTTTTCTGCCATGCTGCTGGAGTTTCTCTTAATTAAGGGGACATTTCTGCTGCAGGTGGATCACGATGAGCTGGTGGACCATGTGAAGAGGTACTTTGTGGAGGACAAAGCCATTTGGGAGAGCGAGAGTCTGGACGATGCTGGACCCAAGCAAGTGGACACGTCCATTGCTCAGTACACCGGCGGCTTGGTGAAGGTGAGTCCATAACATCTTGATAAATCTTGATATATCTTGAAACCCCTTCAGGAGGAATGCGAGATTCCCATCTATGCGGCCGCTGGCCTGCCCGAGCTGGCTCACGTGGTCCTCGGCTTTGAGGGCTGCTCCCACCAGGACAAGGACTTTGTGCCGCTCTGCGTCCTAAACATCATGATGGGCGGCGGTGGCTCCTTCTCGGCCGGTGGCCCAGGCAAGGGCATGTACTCGCGTCTGTACACAAAGGTGCTAAACCGCTACCATTGGATGTACAGCGCCACGGCGTACAACCACGCCTACGCCGACACCGGGCTCTTCTGCATCCATGGCAGCGCACCGCCACAGCACATGAACGACATGGTCGAGGTCCTGACCCGCGAGATGATGGCCATGGCCGCCGAACCAGGACGCGAGGAGCTGATGCGCTCCAAGATACAGCTGCAGTCCATGCTGCTGATGAATCTGGAGTCGCGACCCGTTGTGTTCGAGGATGTCGGCCGCCAGGTGTTGGTGACGGGACACCGGAAACGGCCCGAGCATTTTATCAAGGAAATTGGTGAGTTCTTTGGCCCTTTCTTCAGTTCAACCATCGCGCTAACTAATGAAATATTTACGCAGAGAGTGTGACTGCGGCGGACATCCAGCGCGTGGCCCAGCGCCTCCTGAGTTCCCCGCCCTCGGTGGCCGCTCGCGGCGCCATTCACAATCTGCCCGAAATGAGCCACATCACCAGCGCGGTCAGTGGTTCCGGACGCTCCGGCCTGGGCCGGCGGCTTTCGCTGTTCAAATAGCGCTGGATGTGAGACAACGATGGCGATATGACAGCAGCTTTGTTGGGCTCGTGTTTCGCCATTTTGTGTACCAAGAGCATTCGTGTTAAGTTTCAATTGGCTAAAAATCTTTACCAAAATCCGACTCGGTTATTTTATTACAAACTGTAAGTGTTTAATTCTGGTTTAACATTGGTTTGAATGCAGAGTTGAGAACCCTTTCATAAGATCAACGGAGCCTTTTTGTGTTGTTAAGTCGTTATACTACTTGCTATTGATATTTAAACCATGATTTTCCATGTGTTCCTCCTCTACGATTACCCTTTTTGATGTGGAAGTGTGGGGGAAATAGATCAAGAGTGAACCTTAGTAGTTTTCCATGGATTGATAACAGTTACCTTATGTTGCTCGGTGTTGCTCCTGCAGTGGATGCTCCAGTAGATTCTTCCAGATGCCCAGCAGCCTTTGGTCCTGCCGGAATAGGGCAACCGTAAAGACTTTACTCCTCGATGCCTTCACCTAGGAGCAGGGCCTGAGTGCGGTAGAATCCTTCTGAACTGATAGCCACTGTAATATTCTTCGCCCTTGAGTGTGCGTCTCCGGCAGGCGCTACTCCATCAACTCCAGCTTGAGGTAATCATTGAACGGGGGCTTCGATATGTGAGCCATCAAGATGCCAGTCTCCCGGTTCAGGTTGGATTTGTTCCTCTCCAGCTAAACCACACGCGTCCAGGGCTTCTGGCACGGATTGGAGACCAGCATATCCTGTAGATATGATGAATGTGGAGGAATTAATAAATTTTTTGACAAAAAATACAGATTTTGATTGTTCTTTTCAAAATAAGCAAGGATTTTTGCAATTATTCTTCTACCATTTTCTGATAAGAACTGTGTTTGTTTACAGGCAGTGCTGGCACTTATAAAAATGAAAACCAAATTTCTGACGGGAAATAGCCAGAAAAAGAACTTCACTTATAGCTATATATTAGCAGGGAAACTTTCAATGCTTAATGAAATTGGAAACAATTACAGTATTTAAACAAAATTAAACATTTTATAAATAAAATATATTATTAATATATTTAAAATAATGAGAATCGTAAACAACTTTTACCTTTCTAGTACTATTAGAATATTATTTCAAAATATAAATGCAGTTAAAAAAAGAAAACTTGAATTTATTCAAAAATCAATTTAGTTTTTGCATTTATTATTTTATTTAGCGTTTTTTTAGCCTTAGAAGCTAATTTGACGGGTCTGACTTGCCATCACTGACGCTCATCTCTACGAAATGCTTGGGCCCCGTTTTAGTTTTAATTTAAATTTCACCTCAATCCTCCATCGATGCTCAATGGCATTTTACGCGGTGGCCAGCGGGAGAGAGTGTGGCGTCTACGACACCTGGGCGCAGTGCGAGGAGCAGGTGAAGGGCTTCAAGAATGCCAAGTACAAGAAGTTCAACACGCGCCAGGAGGCGGAACAGTTCGTAAATGCCACCAAATCCTATGCTCCCCATGAAGTGGCTGTGCCCTTGGGCCAGAAACAGCCGGCTCCACAGAATTGGAATATCAAAATCGAGAGGCTGACAAAGCCCAAGTACACAGAGGAGTGGCCGGACGAGGATCACGACCTGGCAGAGAGTGCGCTGGTGAGTGGAAAATCCGCTGGAAGTGGGCATATATAATTACCAACTTGTTTTGCAGAATGCAGCGTTGAACGAAGTGGAGGGAGATCCCAGACCATCTGGCAGTGGAAACTTGGTAATAACCTTTGGCTCTAGCGCTGAAAAGGATTCATTACAAAAAACTCCTTTCAGTCAGACTTATATTACCGCAAACGCAAGGGTGATGGTGACGCAGGCGGCGATGGGAGAGTCAAGATCCCCCGGCATGCATCTCAGGTCTCAGAAGCCACGGGCCTGAAGCAAGTGGGTGCTCACCAGTTCGAAATCGATGCGGAAGGCTATGTAATTGTGTACACAGATGGCTCCTGCATAGGCAACGGACGACCAGATGCCTGCGCCGGATACGGTGTATACTTTGGGGATAATCACCAGCTGTATGTGCACTGAATCCATTCCTCCTATAATTTCATCATTCTATATCCTTTTAGAAATGCAGCAAAACCCGTGGGTGGACGTGCCACCAACAACGTGGGCGAGATTCAGGCAGCCATCTATGCCATCAAAATTGCCTTGGGTCTGGGAATCAAAAAACTGTGCATAAGCACAGACTCCCAGTTCCTGATTAATTCCATTACCCTGTGGGTGCCGGGCTGGAAGAGAAGAAATTGGAAACTAAAGAACAACCAGCCCGTGAAGAACGTTGTGGACTTCAAGGAACTGGATGAACTGCTGCAAAGCAAAGACCTCTCCGTGAAATGGGTGTGTAAAAATAACTTATTAATTCGATTTTAGTTAAATAGTTAATTTTAGAACTACGTGGAGGCCCACAAGGGCATCAAGGGTAACGAAATGGCCGATCAGTTGGCGCGCCAAGGATCGGATATGTACAAGAAACTTAATTCCAGATAACAAGCATTTTTAATTTTACCGCGTAACCTACACTACTTTATGTAAAAAGCTCGGCAACCCTGAATAAATTGAGTATATGTGACAACCCTAAGCCGAATGTTTTTATTTACTTTTCACTTTACAGCGGTTTTCATAGATTTTTTGCCATGTTTTCCAAGGAAACTAGCAAGTGCGCTTTGATTATCCTTATTTTGGCCCTGAGGAAGGATTTGGGCAGGAGCTATGTGGTGGAACCACCTATAGTTCAAATAGAAATGGACAAAGCCGGCATGCATAGGTTCTTTTGGATGAAACTCTCCGCAGAAATGTGTAAATCTTACGGGAATACGTGTTGTTACAGGACTCTCATCTACCGGCTGCGTTTCGACTATCCCCTGGTGGGCAAGGATTGCGAGTACGTGCTGCTCCAGCCGCTGCCCGCTTCGGTTTACATAAGCACGGACGAACTGGACGATTTGCAGCGTCTGAAGAGGGTGCGTGTTATCAAAAGACTCGAGTAACAAGGACTTAAACAGCTTAAACATTCTTCTTGTTTGCAGCTGAGTGCCGTCTACCCAAAGTTCGTCAACATTGAAGTGGCCACGGAGCGGGCGCAGCCGTTCGATGTGCTATTGCGCGGGACGCCCAAGATTACGGAGACGCTGGCGCTGCCGGTGCATTTTCGCTACCATGCCCCCAGCGATAAGCGGTGCGGTGATCTTGAATGTTGAAAAACTAACACTAATAACCCACTAAACCCAACAGATCGGCGGCCACGGTGGCCATACCCCTGCCGGAGCTCTATCTCAACTGCCCGCTGGCTGATAGTGAGCTCATCGAGAGCGGATTGGTTGCCCGGATCGATAAGCTCTACTGCCTGAATGCGCCGGAAAGCAGATTCGATGAAAACATCGTCAAGGACGGCGAGCCCACGACGATGGCGAATCTGGAGCGATGCAACTGGCGGCGGGTGCATGTGGATTGCCAGCTAAAGACTCCGCTACGGGCCGAGATACCCGTGGGCAATGCCAATGCCTACGGTCCGGTGCTGTATGGCACCATCCTGCTCGGCTGGACGCTGGCCCTGTGGACCATAATCCGGTCCATGGCCAACACGCGCAGGATTAATCAGCGCCTCAACGAGCAGCGGCTGCTGCAGCAAAAGGTCAAGTAACAGGCGTCGAAGACAGTGCGATTCCAAGTCAACAATGGATAATAATGCTCGGCACAAGTGTGCTGGGGCTGTAAATATATTTATTTCTATGCTGTGACCGTTCACCTGTAGACACATTCCACACGACTTGATCGCTTAATCACTTAACGACCCTAGAAACGTGCCACACACATCGTAAAGTCTAATTAGGGCTATCGCACAACCAAGTCACACTAAGCTTCCTTTAGCATAAGCGTAAACATAAACGAATATCTTTAATTACTGCTAGGCATATCCAAAGAACACTTAAATTATAATTACTACAATTAACGAGATTGTCAATGGGAGAGCGGCCATGCGCTTCAGAATCTATGGTCTTTGTCCGACGTGGGTGCAATGGTCCTCGAATCGGTTTCCAGGTTGTTGCGCAACGTCATCGTACTGGACATGCTGGGAGCCTCGTTCCAAGGCTGTACTGTGGCCTTGCCAAAGATCACAAACAGAGTGTTGCACACCAGATAGACGCCGCCCGTGATGAAGAACACCAACCGCCACTGGCTGGAATCCTCCTCGTTGTTGAGAATCGCCCCCACCGCCAGGGGAGCCACAATGGACGTCACTCCGGCTATGCCATTGGTCACTCCCATCATGGGACCCGCAAAGTTGGGTGACAGATCAATGTGGTTGATCAGATAGCCGCAGGCGCAACCCGCATTGATACCCACGGCCAGCGTCAGCAGGAGAATGGCCCACGTCTTCTCGTCGGCGGTCATGTAGCCCAAGCCAATGAGGCAGGCCATCGGTCCCCACTGGCCGATCGAGTTGAACAGTTTCCGGGCAGTGGTGATGGAAATGGTGCCCCGGTTGATAAGAAGATCCGAAATGGGGCTGACCACCAGGCAGAGCAAACCCATGGCGAAGTACGGAAGCGAGGAGAGGAAGGCATTCGACTTGACGTTCAACTGCAGCACGCTGCTCATGTACGTGGGCATCTCGGTCAGCAGGGTATAGAAGCCCCAGGTGAAGCCGCAATGGGCGGCCAGCAGTCCGTAGAAAGCTGGTGATGTGAAGATCGACATCCAGGGAACCGGCATGGACTGGAAGGATAGAAAGAAGGTCTAAACCCGCTCTGGGAAGGCCCTGTGTTGCTCCTGCAGACTCACCTGACTCGCGCTATTGCTTCCCGTCAGGCTCTCTATGTACTCCTGCTCGCTCTTGCTGATCCTGCTGGCGGTGGCGGGTTCGTTGGCTGCCTGCCAAAAGAACAGGAGAGCCCAGGCCAGGCTCAGGCCCCCGGACAGGTAAAACAGTCCCGGCCAGCCCATGCTGGACTCGAAGATAAAGCCACTGGTGACTAGGATAACCGCTGTTCCGAACTGCGCACCCGAGTAGATGCCCGTGGTGAGGAAACCCCGCTCCGTGCGTGGCACCCACTTGGCCAGCAGGGTGTGAACACAGGGATAGACTGTTCCCTGGACCAGACCAGTAAAAACGCGCAGCACGCAGACACTCTCCCAGCCGCTGTTGGCGGCCATGGGATGGAAAAAGCACAAGATGCCGCCTATGGCTGTGGCCACGCCCAGGACAAGCTTGGCACCAAACCGCTTGGCCAGAAGACCTACGGAAAACAGATTTAGCTGAGGAAGCCTGTGGCATTCTGTCTCGCTTACCTGCCGGCACCTGGGAGACCACATAGCCCCAGAAGAAGCTGCTGAGGATCAAGGACTTGTCAGACGTATCCCAGTTGTAGAAAGGAGCTCCTGCCGTGGACTGGGTCATGGGAACAATAGCGGCCGAGATGTTGACCCGCTGGAAGTAGTTTATCATCATGCCCACAAACAGGAGGATGGCCTGCCAGTGGCGGGCACCGAAGCCCGAGGCTGTAAGGATAAACGTGAAATTAATTATTCGAACTTACAGATGCGCAGAGCAGGCTGGTGTGTACTGGCTAGTTTCCTCAGCGGATCCGGAACTACGCGGATCAGCAGGGGCCTACGCTCCCCATTGGAATAGTAAACCATGTTTGATCGGCTGCGGACTTAACGGCCGTCTGGCTAAACGATTTATTGATTGCCTCATTATATAAATCGAGTGTGCGAATTGTTTGTCAGCTGCATGATTATTTCTAGGACCTTTTTTTTACTCAATTCTCGTTTTATTGCCGTTTAACAATGCGCTCTGATAGTGACGATTCCCATTAATTAACGGCTCCGACAGACTCGTTTTCGGTTTTATTATAATAATATTGTCATTATCATTATCATTAACGCCGCCTGCCAATGAGGAAAACAAAAGAGCTCCCCTCTCAATGGAAAAGTTCCCGCTGCGCCAGTGGAGTACGGTTGGATGGGGGGGCAGAATGTGTGAATGGAGCCGTATACTTTATGGGCTTGATCCTGAGATTAAGTCCCCCGAAATTCGTTGCCTTGCAGAGATGTTGTGCAACCTCCGCACCTTCATCACCTCCACCACAAAAGATAATAAATATATTTTCTGTGTGTCAAAAGTGGAATTATCTCTTGTTGATCTTTATAAAGGCAGTCACAAAGCTTGCGCAGATGTCTGATATACGATCAAGATATGGTTTGCAAATATGGCCAGACGTCTGGATTGTAATAGAGCTGTGTTACTCCAGGGTAGGGTAGGTCTGGTCGGTCATAATTGCAGTTATAACACAAAAAGAGAGAGAGAGAGACCTGGTATAAGAGCAATGGGAACTCTTTCGCGTTTAATAACTGCGATTATCTCCGGGGTTCTTATACTCTGGGTACTTATATTTCTGCTGATCGGTTGGGAATCGGTTGGGTTCCTATCAATAACCTATAATTAGCAGTCGGTGAAGTAGAAGACAACACTCAAGATCTGTCACAGCGATGAAAAGTAATAAATCTTTCTATGTAGGTCTTTTGTACAGTCCAATTTGGAGGTATTTTGTAAGCTAACAAATTAAAGAATATTTCGTATTGTTATCTGAGCTGATAACTTGTTTTATCATTAGTAATTTTTATAAACTGGAATTGAACTAATACGAAATATAGCACTAAAAACAGTTTAGGAAACTATTCAAACAAATTTATTTTGAGTTTATTTTTTTAAATAAGGCTTAAGAGCTTTATAACCCTTCATAGTAAAATTTCAAAAAATAAATATAAATTTATCCTACGCTGAATATTGTCACCTATTATTATTCCGTATTTTTGATTAAGATAACTAGCGAGGCATCACTGTATTTCGCACGCTTTTACTTAATCCCTCCGGCAATGCCATGTGCGATCTCTCAGATCGTTGACTTACGCCTGGCCTTATCCTCGGAGGTGTCGAAACCCATGTCTGGTATCTCACTGATATATTTATTATTACACGTCGAGCTAAAAATCCGCCGGAGTGCTTGGGCGCAAAAACGTTGGACGACTGCGGAGCCATTGGTGCACCTTTCGCTTTTATACTGATACCACACAAGAACACATTTTCCTGATTACAGCCGGAGGGGCCTCCAGTTCTTAAGTGCCGGCGGGGCTGCGCAGATCGTCCGCCATTATCGCGACCATAATCATAAAGTAATAAAGATCTGCCAGAACTCCGGGCACTCGCCGTGGGACATCCAATGCAAATTATATTATGCCTCGTCTTTGATTTACTTTTACATTGAAAATGATCATAAACAATTGAACCATTATCGCGCGATTTAAGCGGGTTAGTAGTCGTTGTAGAGCTATTATCTCACCTCTCAGACCTGGTTCGGCTGCACTCGAAGCCCTTTTAATGCCTATGATTCAGGTGTTAATCTCTTGTTTTGTGCACTTTTTCACAGAATTCCTGGTTATCCGGTTATAATTGCTTTACGGCCCTCTGGCCTGAGGCGTCAACACTTTGGATTCCCAGTGGGTGGGTTCTGGGGAAAGTCTATTTAGCTGTGTGTTCAAGTGTGACTTATTTTTTAAATCGTGTAAATATACAGGGGCTAAAAATAAACTAATGCAATCTGCTGAATTCATGGAAGCAGTGTAATAAGTAATTATTTGGGATCATGATATAATTTCCGCTCATCTCATCTTGATTATTACAGAATCTAAGGCACACATTAAATTATTTTAGCTTTTTTGTAACAAAATATTTGCATTAGGAAATCTTTTTTTTATTAATTTAATTAATAATAATTTTTGTTAAATATATATTAATAATAATAATAATGAATATTTATATTAAAGTAATTTTTAAATTATTTAAGGCTCAGTAATTCAGAAATTGTTTAAATAAAAAAAAGTAGTTGAGCTAATTTCTGACAATTTTGATTTATTCTTCCAACATTTTACTTTTAAAAATAACCGTCATTACGAATTTTTGGGCATCTGTAAGACCCTCTTCAGCAACCGCAGTGTTTTCTTGGGTTTCTAGCCTGGCCACACTGAACAGGGAAAGAGTGAAATATTTTTTGATTTGTTTGCACCTGTAATATGTCCACGCGATCCTCATTTGGCGATGATGAGCAGACCAAAGTGCCCCGCATCATGACCTTCCGGCCCAGCTACGATGAGTTCAAGAACTTCGCCTCCTACATCGAGCACATGGAGTCCCGCGGAGCCCACCTAGCCGGCTTGGCCAAGATTCAGGTAAGTTCTAGCTGCTCCAAAACCATGTCTATCCATCTGAACGCTTCATGTTCCGCAGCCGCCGGCGGAATGGGTTGCCCGGAAAGATGGCTACGATATAGATAACATCAACATGACCATTCCGGCGCCAATTTGTCAAGTGGTCACGGGGTAAGTACCTATTTCCGTTGTCGTCGTGAGTTCTTGCTGTAATCCAATCTTGTGTCTTGCAGGGCCCATGGGCTTTACCAACAGATAAACATACAGCAGCGCCGACAGATGACCCTGCGCCAGTTCATGGAGAAGGCCAACTCGGAGCTGTATCAGACGCCGCGCCACTTTGACTACGAGGACCTGGAGCGCAAGTACTGGAAGAACATCACATACATATCGCCGCTGTATGCTGCCGATGTCAAGGGGACGCTGAGTGACGAGGACCTGGACGTGTGGAACATCGGACGTCTGGACACCATTCTCAACCTGGTGAATACGGACTACAACATCATCATCGATGGCGTGAACACGGCCTACCTGTACTTTGGCATGTGGAAGAGTTCCTTTGCCTGGCACACCGAAGACATGGATCTGTACTCCATAAACTATCTGCATTTCGGGGCGCCCAAGACATGGTATGCCATTCCGCCTGCGTACGGTCGCCGATTGGAGAAGCTGGCCAACGAGACCTTCGTAGAGAACTACAATGAGTGCAATGCCTACCTGCGCCACAAGATGACCATGATCAGCCCGAAGGTGCTGCGCCAGCACAACATTCCGTACAACAAGATCACCCAGGAGGCGGGCGAGATAATGATCACGTTTCCCTTCGGCTACCATGCGGGCTTCAATCATGGCTTCAACGGAGCCGAGTCCACAAACTTTGCGTCCAGGCGCTGGATCGAGTACGGCAAGCGGGCCAGTATTTGCAAGTGCCGCAGCGATATGGTCAAGATCTCGATGGAGACCTTCGTTCGCCGCTTCCAGCCGGAGCGCTATGAGAACTGGCTGAGGGGCCAGGATTTTGGCTGTCATCCCGAGGAGCCGGGAAAGATATGCGCCTCAGCGCCGCCCACTTTAAACGAATACGAGAAACAGGCGAGGTATTACCTTTGTTGCGCCCCAAAGATCATGTTCTTCCACTAATCTAATCTCATTCTTTAGCTTACGCGCGATCAAGTCACAAAAGCGTGGCTGCTCACTGGCCGCCACCACTAATGGTTGTGAGTCGAACTCGGAAGCCGTCGAGAATCCTGCCGATGCCGATGACCGTGCCAGTGTAAGCAGCTACAGCAGCTCCCGCCATTTGCAGCCCGTGGTCAAGGTGCGTAAGCTGGCACCCAAAGAGACCGTCGTACCTGAAACCTCAGCCCCGCCCAAGAAATACGATTTCAACCAGGTTGCCGTTGTGCGCGTAAGGCGCCTGTGGAACGAACTACCAAGCACCGAGAATGGAGTCAATCTGCTCACCAATGGCGTGGTAAAGAACACCAAGCGAATGCGCTTCCAGACAAAGGTACTCACACTTGACGACGAGGATTGAGGCATCAATATACGTTAAAGCACCTGCTCCAAAGGCAGTCTGTCGATCTCCAAGCTAGGTTTTTGTGCGGCTGCAATCAAAGATCTACTAAGTAGTCATAGGTTTTGTAATATCTTAGCGTTTTTTGTATGTGTGACGCGTTCACAGGGAAGAATTGTGAATATAGAATGTATTAGATTTTCCGACCAAATCAAAAGATTGTAAATATATTTCTTTACAATGGGACAAAACGAAGCTTGATTTGTCGCAAAACATTTTTTTCTCTTTTTTTCAACAAGTGTTTGTTCCCACCGAAATAGTTTCTGTAAAATAATTAAACTTACACTTTGAAATCCACCAAACGAATGTCTATAAATAATTAGAATATACAAATCAGAGCCTTGTTACGACTTGTGCGAAATTCTTTAGCAACAGAAACGGAAAACGCCCACTCACTTGACCCCTAATTAACGAGGATTCGAGGATTCAACAATTACTTAAGTCACCAGTAAGAGGTAACAATGTTCGGTTACTATAAATAATTACAATATAAAAATGCGAGTCCTTTGGCATTCAACATGTTGCGACATGTGCGAAATTCTTTTGCAACGGAAACCGGAAAACGCCCACTCACTTGACCCCATAATTAACAATGGTTTGAGGACTATAAAAGCATTCCAAAGCCATTGCTCCAGCAATTACTTAAGCAACCAGTAAGCGGTAACAATGTTCGGTTACTTTAAGCTCATGTACCCGGCTCCACTGTCGGAGCCCATTCGCACAAGGGACTCCAATGCCTATCTACTGGAGACGCTTCGCATGTCGGGCCTGAACCTACGAAACGATTTCGGCGTGGGACGCAAGATCTGGCGGGTGTTCTCCTTCACCTACAACATGCTGGTGCTGCCCATCAGCTTCCCGATCAACTACACGATCCACCTGGCGGAGTTCCCACCCGATCTGCTGCTGCAATCGCTCCAGTTGTGCCTGAATACCTGGTGCTTTGCCTTCAAGTTCTTTACGCTGGTCATCTACATGGCCCGCCTGGAGCTGGCCAACAAGCACTTTGACGAACTGGACGAGTACTGCGTGAAGCCCGCGGAAAAGCGCAAGGTGCGCGATGCAGTGGCCGCCGTCACCAGGCTGTATCTCACCTTCGTTTTGGTTTACGTTCTGTATGCCACCTCCACGCTGCTGGACGGCATGTTTCATGACCGTGTGCCGTTCAATACCTACTATCCCTTCGTGAACTGGCGCCTCGATCGCACCCAGTTGTACATTCAAACTTTCCTGGAGTACCTAACCGTAGGCTATGCCATATTTGTGGCTACCGCAACGGACTCTTATCCCGTGATCTATGTGGTGGCCCTGCGCACACACATTTTGCTGCTCAAGGACCGCGTCATCCACCTGGGCGAGACCAGCAGCAATAGCGAGGGTAGCAACGATGCTGACTTCATGTTCACATCTCTGGTGGATTGCATCAAGGCTCACAGGACTTTGCTGAAGTAAGTTTACGTAGGATTATGACATTAAATAGGAAAGGGAACTATTTCTAAATAAGTTTAAGGGGGAATAAAAATATTTAATAAATTAAAACGCCCCGTGAGTACCTCGGGCCACTTATCCTTTAACGAATTCATTATATTTTTTTCTCTCCACCAGTTTCTGCGAGGCGATCAAACCGATCATCTCCGGCACGATCTTCGCTCAGTTCATAATCTGTGGCTCCATCCTGGGGATTATCATGATCAATATGGTTTTGTTTGCCGATCAGTCCACACGCTTTGGCATTATAACCTACGTGATGGCGGTGCTCCTGCAGACATTCCCTCTCTGTTTTTATTGCAATGCCATTGTGGATGACTGCAATGAGCTAGCAGATGCTTTGTTCCATTCGGCCTGGTGGATGCAGGACAAGCGCTACCAAAGGGTGGCTCTCCAGTTCCTGCAGAAACTCCAGCAGCCCATGACGTTCACGGCCATGAATATATTCAACATTAATCTGGCCACCAACATCAATGTGAGTAAATTAAGTGTATCTTTAAAAGAATACAAAATGAAGAATCCTCCCCCACGTCTACCCTGCAGGTGGCCAAGTTCGCCTTCACCGTCTACGCCATTGCCAGCGGCATGAATCTGGACCAGAAGCTTCAGATCCAGGAAACGCAATAAAAGTAAATGCATTAAAGGTACAGACATACACACACGTACATTGTTTTATGAACTTAACACTTGTTTGCTTCATAGTAGTAAGTATAATAATCGTATATGCATACAGGGAATTATGATTAAAACGTAAACTAGTTAAAACAAAACTTGATCGAACAAAGGGACAATAAAGAAAAGGGTCGCTACATATTCTTAAACCGTTCGGTATCGCAGCCCCTGCAGAAGAACCTATCAGGAATCTGGCCGAGGCTTGATCTCTGGTCTCGTCTATGGACATTGCTCCCTGCGGCTGGCCGTTTGTCTCTATGATATGGGTGTGCTCTGGTGACGGAAGATGAATATGTGGCCGGGAATTGCACGTATGTATATATGAATGTTTAATGCCAGGCAAGGAGTATATATATATTTTATAGCTCGCAAACAGTTTGAATGTTTCGGCGGCAGTTTATTTCGCGGGGTGGGATAGGAAGTAGGGGAGGGCGGGGACTACTACACGATCTCTAAGTATATTGATGATATTTTAATGGCTGGCATAGAGATGAAACAGCGAAGTTGTACAATTAACATAAACTTAGGCGAGATAACTATATGTGTCTTTGTGTCCCTCCATACGCTCCAAATACTCCTTCTCGATCAGGATGTCGATGCACTTCTTAATCACGGGCACCTTGGGCTTGAAGCGCGTCGACAGCTGGTTGAGCACCTCCGATATGAGGTTGGTGTGGTTGAGTCGCTTCCGCATCTTCATGATGCGCACGATGGCCGCCTGGATGAGCAGCTTGCGGTCCTCCTCTATGTGCTTATGTACAGTCTCCTGCTCCACCTTAAGCTCAGTCTTCAGCGGCTGGTTGATGTTGATGCGGCGCTTCTTGTTCTTGTAGTCCAAGAACAGCTCCACGGTCGACTCTGGCGTCAGCGAGTTCTCATTATCGTTGGAGGTCAGCACCTTTACCTTGAGCAGTATTTGCAATACCTGGAAAGCAGCACGGTTCAAGTACGGAGCACGGAGGGAACGGGGCTAGCTCTTACCTGAATCAAGTTCTCCAGCTGAGTCTGTGTGTTGTCCAGGAGCTGCTGGACTGTGAAGCTCAGCTGATCGTTAAACTGAAGCAGCACAGACATCTGGAAGGTGCTGGCCTGCAGGGTGTACACGGTGGAGGTGTTGTTCCGATTGACATTCATGATCAGCTCGCCCTTGCACATCTGGTAGAGCCAGTTGAGCTTGCGACCCGAGTGGCGGGCGGCGTAGAACTCATTGAACTGGCGCACTGACCGCTCCAGCTCGGAGGGCAGCAGGAAGGTGTTGCTCAGCTGGAAGGGCCACGAGCCCGAGGAGAGGACCTCGATGCCAAAGTCTATTTCTGTGGTCACGTTCTTTGTGGCCAGGTACTCCTTGAAGTTGGAGTTCAGGTCCTTGGAGACGCCAATGTCCTGGAACATACGCTGCAGCTTGACGGTGTACTCGTAGCCACACGTCTGCTTCAACTTGGAGATCATCATGGCCTCGGCGTCGTCGGAGGCCGATGTGTGGTTCACCAGACGCTTGGCCAGCATCTTGGAGTAGTATTTCTGGAAGACATCCTTATCCTCGATGTACTTAAACACGACCATCACCTGGTTGAGATTGTCCTCCAGCTCCTTGTCCTCGGGGTTCTTTGAGGATTTCTTTAGCAAGAGGTCGCAGTATTTGGCCAGCAGCTCGGGCGACTTGCTGGCACTGTTGGCGATCGTGACCACATTCGAGTTAATAAACTTGCCACACGCCTTGTCCAAGGCGGCCACGAAGCCGTTGTCATTGTTGAACGCCGTCAGGACGAGGGCGTTGTACTTTTTGTGCACGTCCAGAATGGTTTGCACATAGGTTTTCGGATCGTTGGCCGCGTCGGTGGTGCAGCACTTGGCAATGGCCTCGGTGCCCTGGTGGAGTATGTGGTTCTCTAGAATGGTCTTGAGGTCTGTCAGGTTCTTGGGCGACAGGGCCACGAGTGAGTACATTCGTTTCAGGTCGTCGTTTCTGTCTGCATTTAGCAGATTTTGGAACTCGGTATGGAATATTTTTAAATGTTTTTCGATAAGAACCTGGAAAACACAGAGATGGGGTTAGTTTATGGGCTAATGAGCCATTAGCGAAAGTCACCCACCTGTTCGCACGTAGACTTGAGCGACTCCGCCGTGGTCTCGTGCAGATACGAGAGGCCGTTCTTCGAGTTAATGCCACGAACGCGCTGCTTCTCCTCCTCCAAACGGTTCTCCACGTGTTTGAGATACTCGGTCACCGTGTTGGTGGATAGGAACGCGTCCGATTCCTTCTCGTAGAAGGCGTACGTGTCGGCGATGAACTTCCTCTCGAAGTTGTCCTTGTAGACGGAAAGCTTCTGCTGCTCGGCGTCGGCGTCTTCCTCGTTAAAACTGAGTTCCACATAGCACTCAATGACGTCGCGCACCAGCGAACGGTTGATCAGCTTGCCCTGACGCTCCTCCTCGATGGACTTGAGCACGGCCTTGGTCACAGGCTCATTGAGCACCTGGAACAGGTGACCCTTCCAGGCGACCAGGGCCAGGCGGTAAATCTTATAGATTCCCTTCTGCCCCTCCTCGCACTCGCGCTTCACCCAGTTGCGGTTCAGGTAGTTACAGATGCCGTCGAGCACTGTGCTTGAGAACTGGTAGGACTTCCATTGTTTGGTGTAGCGGGACAGGAGCACCTCCTCGCCGCTGATTGCCTTGAATTTGGTGAGCAGCTCGCTCAGGTAGGATTTGAGGAACTGCTCCAGCCGGTCGTAAAGCTTCTTGCCCACCAGTTGGGCACCGCCCGTCTTACCGCTGCTGCGTCCTGTGGGCGCCGCATTGACGCTGGTGCAGTAGTCGTACACGTGCGTGTAGAAGCGCATGTACTGGCTGCGGGTGAGGGACTTCTCCTGGTCAAACACCTGCATTATGCCCTCGACCAGTTCGCTCCAGATGTCGTCCAGGTTGACCGGCCTCTGTGTGGTCTGCGCATTGCTCGAGCGGTTCATCTTGGCGGCGGGAGAACTCTGCCGATTGCCTTCTCCCAGTGGAGCTGGCTGCTGTGGCTCTGCTGCCTGCGGATGCGGGGACGCTGTGGTGCCTGCGGCTGACTGCTGCACGGGCGACAAGGGGTTGCTGTCCTGGTGGCGTCGTTTGGCGGCTCTCGTCCTAGGTGTTGTGGCCGGAATCTTGGCAAATCGGTTTTCGAATTTTGGAATTTAGAAAATATCGATCTGCAACAAAACCCAGTGACGAGACGAAACGAAACGTTACACAAACAATCATAATGTGGTAGGCCTCGCCAGTTAAGCTACGGCGACCCGAAGGTCGCCCGTTGTGATCCAATGTCACAGCAATAAAAGAGAGGCTTGCGGAATACACACACACACATACGCAAACATTTCTACACCGCGCCTCAAGGTGTAATGCGATGCCGTGGGATGTCACGGAGCAGGTGATACCCTGCAGTAGGGTATCAGCCAATGCACTCCAAACTAGCGAGAGATCGTGTTCGTGAGCATGAAAACTCTACTTCCTGGTTAAATAAACATACACACTGGCACTCGAACTCGCCATCGCATACAGACACACACACACACAAACACACACAGAGAGACAATGGGGAAAAAAAACCAGTGCACATACATACATATGTACGTTCGCAATCATTACATTAAGCAACTTTTAAGCAGCGTTCGCTAATTTCCGCGCAGCCTACAACTCTAAATTTCGATGGAAAAACCGTGCGCCTTCGTTTTCTTTCTGTGACGTCGTGATTTGATTTCCCCCTTTGAGACACACACACTTTTTCTCTTTTGTTCGCCATTTTCACTCTGAGCACCCTTCATAAATCTTCGAGTTTGCACGAATTCTGCTGTTTGTTACCTGTTGCCAGACGCTGTTCACTACTGAACTAAAGTATAATTGTATTTAGCAGTAGCTTATAATTAAAATTAAATTTTTGCGTGTAAATGACCAACTTTAACTTTCCATTGGAAATATGGTCGTACTTTTTTTAACAACAACAACAAATATCAGTGTGGCCAGATGATTGGAACTTTTTTAACCACTACAAATATAAGTGTGGCCAGATGAAAATTTGGCTTTTACTTACAAACCATGTTAAATGTAGCAATGGGGTATGTAAAATTTATTCTATGGCTACAAAAAAGCCAGATGGCTTATATATAGAAAAAATGTGTGAAAAATTCAATAATTGGATAATATTTCAATTTTCGGAGCTTATATAAATTTTTTAAATTAAAAGAATCTACATTTCATTTGATTTCCATTCTAAATTTGAACAACTTAACTTTGTTTCTAGCTAGGACTTGGCTTTTCTCTGTCAGCACTGACGTTGTGAAATGACAGTATAGTTGCGAAGGGTGACAACTCTAGTGCCGTAAAGCAAAACAAAAACAGAAGAAATTTAAATCGTCATTGTTAGTAACAGCGATTAAAGTTGTTTCCATTTTGGAGGGCGAACGAAGATGTCCTTCCGCAATTCTTGCTTAGTGGCGGCAGCGCTGCTGCTGCTCCTGATCCAAGAGCATGCCTGTGACGCACCAGCTACGCAGAAGTCTGTGACTACTCCGGAGAAAAGTGCGCCGGTTAGCAAGACCGTAAAGAAGGCAAAGCCTGAGGATCCGCCGGCTGGTCCAAAAGATTCTATGGTTGTTGTGAGCAAGGGAGGCCCAGAGCCCGCTGCGCCCCCGGCATTGCCGCCTGATTCCAAGCCCCCCGCATTGCCAGTCGATGACAAGCATGCGGCCCCAGGATCCGCCGCCAGTGCTGCCGGTGACGAAGTTCGCGTGGAGCATTCTCATGACGATTCTCCCGGCCAGGCCGTGGTCTACATAGTGGTGGGCATCACCAGCACTGCTATCCTGCTGTTCGTAATGCGGGTTTATCGGTGAGTTGCGAGCTGCTGATTCCGACTGAGTCCGAAATTCGTGATGAAGCCACTTAACATGAATTTGTGTGCCAATAGATAGCAATGCGTTGGATCCTGGTTCTTTATTAATCCAGTATTCCGGTTTAATTCAAGATTGAGTTGCAATTCGTAGCTATTTGTTCACATTTATTCTTTTCTTAGTATAAATGCAAGCTGATAACGCTAATCAAGACTAATCGCTAATCTCCCCTCCCAGGCTGCGTCTTTCACGGGCCGAGCGAAAGTACGGCGTGCAGGGCGACCGGGCCAACCAGGAGCTGACACCGTTGCCCATGGCCATCGAGGACGTCAACAGCGACGAGGAGGACCACACCCTGTTTGAGGTCAATCGCCAGAACATACGCATATTATGAAATAGCCAACAGCATCACTCGCCAAAGATCTGGGTGGCCGTGGCGCCATTACCAACACAACTCCTCAGCAGACTTGCCTTATTTCGTAGCTATATAATGCTTTGTAGATTTACGCCGTAGCCGCTAACACATAGCACATTAAGTCCAATGCCCGGTTCTCCCACTAACTAAGTAACTAAGTTCTGTGCATTTCTCCCCACTCGCAGTTGGTTCAAGTTTAACGAATCAAAGGAAAACAAAACCACTTGTGATAACGATTACAATGATACATGTATGTCTATAAGAAACAGGATGCCGCCGCTGAAGCCCCGAAGGCATTAAAAATCTCAAATTACGGATACTCTCCACTCGCCTCAACGCGTATCTGTTCCATATTAATAAATGTTATATTAAATGTACTCGGTATTCTGTTTATTTTTCGCTTTTTTCACAAGACACTAGCTATAGTTTAGGTACAATTAGGCATACAATTAGACTTAATACAGTTTGATGGACTTAACAATAGGTTGGCCAAGCGCTCTAGGCTGGTTACAGGTTACAGGCAGTACACTAGTACACACACACACAGAAAGAAATGCACTCGCTTGGACTTATCAACTAGGATCACATAAATAATTTATTAAGAATACTGCGACTTCGCCTGCCGAACAATAAGAAAAACCAGGAGGAGCTTACAACTACCACTAACGCTAAACTTGAGCTTCGCTAATGTGTTACATTTGTGGTTGGCACTGTAGTTTTTGTAATATTCGCGCTCTCTGCTGTCCGCAGAGTCGGATCTAGAGACTAAGTGGTGTGGGCAGTGATCGAGAGTGCGGGTTTCAACCCATCTTCATCAGATCATGCTGCCGAACATCCGTTTGCCGCGGGTCAACACCAGGCTGACCACCATCACGGTCAGCAGGAAGAACACCAGGCTGAGGAACGTGGTGATGAAGCGGCATCTTTGGCGGAACTTCTTCTCCTTCTCCATTTTCAGGCGCAGCTGCTCGGCCCGCGGCAGGTCGAGGGTGAAGTCGGATTCGGGTCGTGAGGATGGCTGTGAATGGGAGATAAGCAAAGGGAAAGAGGTAAGAATTATTAAATTTTATAATGTTTAAGTATTTTATACAAATAATTAATAATAATTAGCTTTGGGCCACAAACTTTCGTTTAAATTGAAACAATCATGAGCTTTAAAGACATTCTCCCCGATTTATATGCGTTAATACCACCCAAAGCTAAATTTAAAGTTCGACTGTAAATGCCACTTGGGCCTGCAATTAAGTTAATTAATATTTGATGATATAAGCGTTTGGGGTTTATGTAAATGCCTGGCCATCAGCGACGACGGCTGACGATCTCCTCTTGACATTGATTATGACCATTTTAATCGCGCATAATCGCATCGATCCTATTTGATCGGCAAAGCTAGTCGAAGATCGGCCTGTGTTTATCTTCCCAGTATTTCAGGTCACAAAATGTTTAACCATAAATCATGGGGCCCGCCAATATTTGCCGGCGAGCTCAGGGCGTGGTGGCATGCTAAGTAAGACAACAGCAGCACAAAAAAAAAGGGCTCCAACGCACAGCAATTTGACCCACTGAGCTTTGTTTTCTTCGCTTTTGTTGTTTCGCCTGCGAGCATCTTCATTTCTGTTCGTGCTCGTCGCCTCACTTTTTAGCGACACAACCTTGAAATCTTTTTCAGTAACAGCGAAAAAAGGCAAAAGCAGACTTGAAACAAAACGTTAACAGTATTTGTTGATGTCTTTTTTTTTGTACTTTTGCCTTTTTTTTGCCGATTCTCGCTAAACATGTTAAAAGTTATGAAACACTTTTGGAAATTTCACCTAGTCAGGTGCATTAGCATGTCATATTCATATGTCTAAGCAGTATATGTTCATATCTGTAGCCTGAGAAGTAAGCCTCTCAGGAATAAAAAAGTCTAAACTGCGACACATTCTGCAACTTCCGGCGGAAGTAAAGTAATTTCCGCACTGTTAAATTACATCTGCCATCCAAGTTATTTCTTGAAGAAGTCAACATAAGCCAAAGTTCTGCTTCTGCTGGACAAAGTTGCTTCAGATGAAACACTCGACTGGGTCTAGGAGCGGGATGGAATCGCTTATCGAATTTCAAGATATATTCAGCTGCGACCGACCGGGTGAAAGCGGCGTATACGCAATGCGGTCATTAAAAGGGCATTCAAGTGTAATTTTGTGTGTGTCTGGAGTGCTTTCAACACCACACACACACGCACACACACTCTTGTGTGTAATTGAGCTGAGGCAAACAAACAATTTTGCCTGCAAAAATTTGTGCACACCTATTTTTGCATTTTATTGTGATTGTGACGGGTTTTGGATTTTTTTCCCCCGTTTTTCCCATTTTTTTTCGTGCGGTATGCTTCATCTGCATTGTTTTCAATCCGGGTGATCATTCCTTTTTCTGTTCAACCAATTACAGTAAACACTGGGGTTGCTAAAACACTGGAGTTCAAACTAGTCAATGAAGAACTCCAAATTCATATAAAACATGATCTGATTTTGATCAAGAATTTATGTACAACGGTATACAATTTTTGGTTTTAATGCTTGAATCCAAATTAAACCTAGTCTTGAGTGACTTAAATGTATATATTAATCACCCTAGGGTATCATTACATAACTAGTACCACTTAGCCAATATTAACTGTACTATTCCGAGTTCGAGTTCCAGCAGAAACGCACACACACATTCGAAATGAGAAATTGAAATGAACACAACTTTGCGGTACATTTTTTGCCTTCCGGCTTCTTTTCTCTCCCTTTTTGATGATTCGCTTGTCTGAGGTTAGTGATGCTTTTCAAAGTCGAGGGTATGTATATACAGCCATATGGACATATAAACATACGACTATATATGATTATTACCGTCGCTGTTTATCAGTCAAAGTACTGTGAAAAGGCAAGACGTAATCGGCAAACGATGACGGAGTCGGGAGTCGGGGTTGGAGGCTGCGAGGCAGTTACCGCATTCCGGCATTTGCAAGTGTATCGGCCTCTAGTATCTGAGATACACTGCAGAAAAATAAGCTTAAATGATGATTGATAGACTAACAATTGAAATTAATAAAAAAACTTGATCTTAGTCTGTTAAGATTGGTCAAAAGATAAGAGTTAATGTCTGTATAAAAAACAAATTTTAAATGTAATATGTTTGAATACAGAATTTGAAATTAAGACATTAACAAAAATTTTAATAATGATCGATGATTCTTGGTTGCTAATTCGTAAACAAAGAACACATCTTAAGATGCTTAAATGATTTATAAGGATTAGTTACTGGTTTAGAAAGACAAAAAGAAATTTAATTGATTTATTAGAATCAATATAAATAAGAGATACAAGTTTTAGTTGTAATATTTAAACATTAAGGATCCCTCAATTAATAACTATTATGATTATTTATTATTTCTCATCAAATTGACCCTGAATGATTGTCAATATCTTTCCCCAGTGTATGTTTTAATGTTTTTTTTGGCATCCCTCAGGCCTGTGGGTGAGTTCGAGTGTAACGGTTTTATTGGCTCGATGTGGCAAATGAAGTGCAATTGTGGTGTAAACCGCCGTGGGCGGAGATGAATTGAATCTGGCCCCCGGGCGGTTGAGGTGCCGGAATAACTTGCTGATTTTAACGCCGGGGGAGACGCCTATCCCATCGGCTAATTTGCAAATGATGCCACACACCAACACGCTTATGCTCATGCTCACGCTCACGCACACGCAATAAATAATAAATAAATAAATTATATAAAAAAATAAAACCATAAGTTCGCCAGAGATATGCAAAATGATGAGAAATCGACTACTGGCTGTAAATTCCCGCTCAGCCCGGCCTTGAAACACATTGTCTGCGCTGCTTGCCCCCCAAATACGGGTTCAGCTTTTGGGCGTGTGCTAATTTTTGAAAGAAAATCCATCGATCGGCGTCTGACGGTGGCTTTTTAATTTGCCGCACACGTTTTCCGCTGACATTGAAGGCGCTTCTTTTCCTCTGTCCCGCCGCAGCTGTCCCCTCTGGATGTTGGCCAAGTTTAATGCACGGGTACGAGGCAAGTACATCAGGTTTGAAAAATCGCTCCAAGAGAAAACCAAATTTTAACACGTTCGCGACCGTAATCTCTGACGGGGCGGGTAATCCGTATTTTTGCTCACGTCGCGACAATGGAAATTTAGTTGATGCAGTTCCGTCTGTCGAGGGGGCGTATACTAATCTTGTTCTCGATGTTATCTGGTATCGGAAGACATTTCTCCGAGACTTGCACATTCTTTTTTTGAGTGGATTATTTGCAACTCATTCCAGCACGATTTTAGATGCAGTTTTCTATGCATTTATATTACTTTCAATATTATAAAGAAACTTCAGCTGTATAGCTTAGAGGTGTTGTTATTAATGGATTATAAATTAAATGGAGTGTTTATTTTGATTTTAAATTGTAAGGCTGAACTTGCCAGCAATTCTATATAAAAGCTGCATTATATTTAAATGAATTGTAGCTTTTCTTTAAAGAAAATATTAACAAAATTGTACATGTATATTTAAATAATAATTATTTAGAATTTATTATGTTAAAAAATGTATGGTAATTATTTTTGGCATAATAAATTATTAATAATAATTATTTATATACATATAAAAAAAATTGTTGTACCCTATTAGTATTTATTTAGATAAATAATTTTAATAATTGTTTCTAAAAACACATTATATTCCCAAGAACCCAATTTTTAATTAGGAAAATATATACAGAAAATATAATCAAATATACAGATATATAATCTATATTGTCTTATCTTTCGTATATTTCCTAACGAATATTTTTCTTGTCAGTTCGTTTAATAATTAATAATTAAACATAAAATAGACCAAACGTTTTTGGAACCAACAAAATGAATCTTGTTTTACTTTATTTCAGGAATCCTTTTATTGATTTATTTTATTCACCATTGATAACCGAACCAATTAAAAGGTAAATATACTTTATAATTTCTCCGAAAACTATGCCTATTTTTGTACCATTCTTTTGGGCCAACTTTTCACTGAACCATTATCTCTGACACTGATCCCTGATCCGTATGTTCCGAGCTGAAGTCAACAACTGATCCGCCGCCGGCGGGCCCAGACCCAATCCCAGTCCCAGTCCCCAGCCTCAGGTGAATGTCTTCATGGGACTTCTGCGTATATTAGTTTTGTTTTGTCTTCGCCAATTAGCGGATATATGCTAACGCGGCCAAAGTGTGGCAATAAGTCCACGAGACGCGAGCCTGAGTCGCGGATTTAATTCAATTTCAAAGTGTGTGCAAGCATTTTTGCAATTGCAAATGAATTTTCTTCTTTCGCCGGCCTCGCTTTGCACCGCTGCAGTGGGGAAATTGCAAACGGAGGCTGTCCAGTTGAGTCACCTCTCGTGGGGGCGTGGCAGAATTGCGAAATTCAGGTGGCAGCCTAATTAGTTGCTGCCTTTCCCTCGGTACAAACACACACCACATACACTACACCAGTGTACAGACTCTAGGCGCATGGGCGATAGGTGGAAATTCGATTCCATAATTGCGGGCAGTGCCACAGCTTCCGTGGAAGCAATACCCCTGGGCCACTTAGTATACTACTTGCTACTTGCTGCCACTAACCATTTATATAAAGCAAAACAAACTCCCGCGGCTGCCGGTGCAGTGAGGGAAATGTGATGAAAGATGATTATTGCTTTGGTTTGTTTGATAATTGATTGAAGATTTTTACCTCTTTTAAACAGTCCTAAAGTTATTTTTAAATGTATTTCTTAATAAAAATGTGTACAACTTCTTGTTTTAAAATCAGTTGTAAACTATTTGCTTTTCTTTAATTTTCTTCTTTAAAAAAAAAAGCAATCAAAGATAACAAGCGATAGCCGCCACCCCATCATGCAAAGTGGCAGCCAAAGAAGGTTGACAACTCCATGACCAGCGACTGCTCTTGAGGCCTGCCCCCCAAATGGAATCCGCCATAACCCAGTTAGCGGTTGGGTGGTGATGGCTGCCCACTGTCCCCTTGTCCCCTTGTCTCCTGTCCAACATCCACTTCGAGTCCACTGGTGGCAAGTGCGGTTGCGATGGCGATTGCAACACTTTGTGGCAGCTAAAACGCGTGCAGCGGCCGCTTTTGGACCAGATCGCCTTACATCTCGCTGCGTTTTCGATTTCGTTTACGTTTTCAGTTTCATTTTCATTTTGAGTCTCAGTTTCGGTTTCAGCTTCAGTTTTAGTTCCAGCTTCGGCATTCATGACAGCAAACCAGTTTGCCGTTTGCTGCCGGCCAATTGCCGTGGGACGAGTTTCTGGCCATCATCGGACACGGGGGACATGGGACATGCATGGGCATCTCAGGATGGGGCGCGGAATCTGGCCAACGTCCTTAAAGGTCATCAGCGTTGTAGGGCAGCCTCCAGTGCCACTTGTTGCATGCTAAGTCGGTTTTGGCTGCTGGCCGGTTATCGCCAATTAGGTGGCCAACTTGGCCACTTGGCCACTTGGCCACTCGGTCAGGCTGCCTGCCGTCTTAACGGAATTTAAAGGTTAACTGGTACAGTAACCGTATTTTTCGCACGATCGCCTCAAGTTCAAATCGCCCGTGATAGATCGGCGATCTGCGAATGCAAAGCACTGGCTCAGGGGTGAACAAACCTTCGCCGGAAAGTGAAAACTCATTGTGGATGCCGGGCGCGAGTTGAGTTAGCCATTTGATCGCTGGCCAGAATCGATCACGGCTGCTCGCGGATATTGCATAAGCGCGGCTGCCCAAAACGGAAGACATAGAACGGAAGCCAAAATTGGTAACGGAATTTTTTGAGAAGCCAGCCGAAAAAGAGCTACTGAATTCTTGATATCAGTTTTAGATATATAGCCACAGAGGTGTTCACTTATTCCAAGTGTTATTTAGTTAAATCTATATAATATATATCTTTATAAATATTTAAATACTTTGCTTATAATTTTATATTTTACAATAATAAAACTTCAGATTTACCACGATTTTCTGAGTATAAGAAATAAATACCCAAATTATTATAACCAGTGAACGACCAATTTATTTAAATTACAAGCCAACTCTTTTTTCAGTTTCTGACTTAAACAGGCCTAGTAAATACCCAGGCGATGTTTACAAATTGCAATCATTACTGTGCTACCCAATGTAATTGCTCTCAATTTTCAGTAACTTGACAGATTTATGACTTAATCTGACATTAACTGAAGGGCCATTGAGACAAATAAGATCGCAAGGCAAGGCAAGGCAAGGCAAGGCAGGTGAACTGCCTCAAGTAAGACCCACATTAGATGTAATTACGGAGGAACAGTAGCCCGGCAGATCGATTAATCATCGATCAGGCTGGGCCCTGACTCTGCCATAGCCTGAATATTAAAACTTTTCCGATGACGTGTGGGAAATGACGAACATTCGAGCTTTCTGTCTAAAAAAACGCGGGTGTTCGTTACCAATATGGACGGCATTATGACCAAGGATGCTTAGAATACGAATATACATTGGAATTACAATCTGGGGGAGGAGGAGGAGGGGCATTTGCAAATTGTGAACTTGAGATTGTTTGGCCAAAAGCTGATTGTTCAATTTGAATTGGGCTGGACGACCTCGAGGCTGCAGCTCAGCTCCACTTGGCTGCAATTAGTCGGAGCATTAATCATACGCCTCGTTGGCCCGGCCAGCTCATAATTATCTCTGCAAGCGGCGGCTGATCCAAATACGGCTATCATTTCGCAACACACTTGACCTAAGCTTAAGTTAATGATACACAACACAACATTCGAGCCAAGGAGAAAGGATTAATCACTTAATCGGAGCATCTCGATAAAGAAGATATGAACGAATTTAATGTACTTTTAATTTTAATTTTAAGTTTTTATGTTTCATTTTGATGAATTCTGTGAACGGAAGTGGCATTCGCTGGTATAGAATTCAATTGAAGTGCAAATCGAATTAAATTATCATTAATTAATTCACACTCGTTACGGAATGAATTGAATCGTGGAATTATTATTATGCGACTGCATGAAATCAGCCAGAGCCAAAGTGAAGGCTCATCCGCCGAATTATCTATCTGTCGGAGGAGATAAATATTTATATAAATCGGCGGCTGAAAATGCCATAAAAAAATGTGAAGCCAACTTTTATCAGATTTGTATAATCCAGTATTAGAATTAGTTCCAGTTATATTTATCACTGGGATCATTGTAATAGTATTTAATTGTTTAAGAGTCATGGGAACCTTGAAGTTTTAAGATTATAGTTAACCTTGATGATTAAATAGGGTCTTGGAATAGTTATTAAACGGGGAGATTTCTTACTATATATCTAAAATTTGAAATATATCCCTGAATATTATTACTAAGAGTTGGCTTAATTTTGGTTACTAAATCCCAAGATTAAACCCATCTATTCCCACCCCGGATACTCACATAGGACAACGTGGGCTGGGCACTGCTGACGACTAGCTCCCCGCCGCTGCGTTGCTTGCCGAGGAGCGACTGGTGCAGCCGATTGGTGCCGTAGTACATCTCCCAGATGCTGGGCTTCTTGCGGTGCCACTCGGCAATGCTCTCCTTCTCCCCGCCAGCTCCACCTGCTCCGCTGGCGGCGGCCAAGCCACCCTGACTGCCCTGACCGTTGAAAATGGCGGGAACCGCCAGGATGGGCTTGTGGAAGGCGAGGTTGCGCTGCAATTGTGTAACCACAGTGGTGGTGGTCAGTCCAGGCAGCGAAGGATGCAAAGCCTCCAGCTCCAGCTGAGGCGTGGAGGCTGGCGAGGGCGTGGCACTGCGTGAGAGGCTGGTGGTGGTCACCTCCTCCGATTCCACGTAGCACTCGGCGGCTGGGAAGATCTCCGCTATGGACTTGCGCTTCATCTTAAAGTTGGGATCGCTGGCGCATCGAATGGTCATAATCTGCTCGCGGACGCTGAGGGACCGACCGTTGGCTGAGATAAGGACACCGTCGCGGACTGCCTCGTAGGCATTGGAGGCCAGCTGGAGGTCAGCACAGCTGCGCCGCCGCTCCAGGGCATTCTGCAGCCGGACGACGTGCTGCTGGCGACCCAGGCCGCTGCACAGCTGGCGCAGCTCCAGCTCGCTGTGCTGGTTCATGCGCTGCAGATAGGACTCCAGCTCGTGCTTCAGCGTGTGGATCATGCCCTCCAGCTCCTTGGGCACATCCGGAGGCGGCGTGGCGGCCGGCGAGGGCGTGGCTCTGGACAGGAGGCGTATCTTATCACGGACATCCTCCAGCAGCTCGCGGGTGTTCTGGAAGTGCAGTTGATCCTCGTAGCGCTTGGCGAAGCTCTCCCCGGCTCCGCCTCGCTCGCTCTCCAGGTGGTAGGCATCCTCCGGACAGGAGTTGATGTACTTGGCGCACTTGTAGTTGTTCTCCGCCAGCTGCTCGTCGTTCAGGAAGCTGGGATTGTCGATGCCACCCCGATGATGGGCGGCCTCATTGGGTGCTAGGAGAAATGCATCCAGATCAATGTCTAGGAGGGAGTCGTCCACCAACTGCTGATCCTGCTGCTGCTGGTGCTGGTGTTGCTGTTCCAGGATGGTGGGCAGCTGGTTGTAGGCTCTCAGCTTCTCGCCAATGTCCAGGCCATGAGTAGAGCCTGACGTCTGCACAAAGTTAACCACGTGCTCCTGGGCATACAGACAGGGAAAGGTCTTGAGGTGGCGGTCCAGGTTCTCAATGCTGGTCTCCAGGATGCGCAGCTTGTCGCTGTACAGGTGCGGCGAGACCTCGCTTCCTGCCGCAGCCGCCGCCTGCTTGTCCTGAGTCGAAAGATTCCTATCTGCAGCAGCTCCGGCTGCATCTTGCATGTCCGAGAGCTGGCTCTTTACTGCTGTCGGGGTGGCTGCTACTGGTGGGGCCACTCCCTCCTTCTGGGAACTGGGGAGCGCAAGCGGGAGCTGAAGCTGCGGACGCAGACGCTTGATCTTCTCCTGCACATCGATGACCGGTTCGCAGTAGATGTGCTCGTCCAGCGAGTAAGTGGAGCACACGTTGGAGCTGTAGTAACCGGACGAGCCGCTCTTGTCCGTCGAGTAATGGGAACCGCCGCCGCTGGTGGCCTGCGTGGCTGTCGCTCCAGCAGATGTGGCTGCCACTGCAGCAGCAGAGGATGATGATGATGATAATGATGATGAGGCCGCAGCTGCTGCTGCTGCTGCTGTTGTTGTTGGCAGTCCGGAATCCGCGGAATGCACGCTGCTGACATTGGAGGCCAGCGAGCACTTCTTGCTGCGCTCCTCCAGCTGCTGGTCGTGACCACTTGCATTCCCAATCTTGGCCAGCCCCGCCGATGGCATTGAAGCAACAGCAGTGGATGTGGACGCTGCAGCAGCAGCAGTGGACACCGCGGTGGATACTGGTGGACCCGATGTCGTCGTCGTCGTCGTCGTTGTTGGCGTGGCGGAGCTGCAATGAAAAGAGAAAGACAGAGCCATGAAAATCTGTGAATAACGACGCGATGAAAGGGAAACCTGGCGTTGGAAAGCGGTTTCTGTTGGTTTTTCGCAATTGCCGTTTTGTTTACGTCTCTTAATAAAAAAAGCAGCGAAAAGCGAAAACTGGTTAACTGGGTTAGTGGCTTTGTTTACGTTGTGATCTCGACACTCGGCTCGTGTCCAGCTGGCAAGGAGCTCTCCCGGATGTCCAGGACACTCGCATTGGGTTCTGTAAATTCCGTAAACAAACCTTTGCCAGCCTGTTCTTTTTTCCCATTTTTTTTTTGTTTTAGAAACTCAGCATCAGCATACAAATTCGATTTCGATTCAAATAAACTCGTTCTAAACAGGATTTCGGCTTCAGTTACTGTTGCAATTCGCTCTGCTTTCGGTTTGTTTGATTTTCGTCTGTTTTTTACGTTTTTTTTTCTTGTCTTTATTTTACTGCCTAACTGTAAAGTTAGGCATGCAAGTGAAGTCTACTGCTTTGAGCCACTCTGGCTCTAGATTTTGACTCTTTTTTCCTCGCTTTTGCCTCTAAGTTCGGGCCAGAGTTTGGGGCAACTTTTTGGTGAACCATGAAATTCGCAGAGGAGAGCCGGTAAGTGCAGCGAAATGAAATGGAAACTTAATTGAATGGAACGGAAGCTTCCCACTGTGGAGGGCCCTAAACTTCGTCGAACTCTTTACAGATGGCCACGGAGGGTTTTTTGTGGCCAATTTATGGGAGATATCTGCGAGGTTTTTGCCTGCTTGAAATATTTCAAGTCGATGGCCAGCCTTAAAAAGAGAGTTTTGAGGTAATAATTTACTATTTCCTAGGTGGTTTTCTTTTACTTTTTAACTTGTGAAACGTATGGAATTAAGGTAAACAATTTTTAATATATCCTTTGTTTTGTTTAATCTTTTCTCTAAGGATTTAAAAGTTTCGTTACCTTCCATCTTAGACCATTTATCTTTATTTCTAACCAAAATGTGTATATTTTTCCAAAGGCCGAGCTTTGATTGATCGCTCCTTCGCCAAAGTATTATTATTCCAAGTTCTAATCGCACGCATTTGCATTTTCTCTGGGGCAGATTTGCATTTGTGGTAGCTTGGCGCCGGTGGCATGGCTTTAATAACTCACTTACGATCCGTAACAAGTCCAAACCCCGAGAGATCCGAGTTCTATACCCACTCGGCACTAGGTCAGCTTTGGCTATTTGGCTTTTGGCCAAACGGAATGAGTGCCGAAAATTGCGTAATAACGGTTGTTGCTCGGCCGGTGGCTGTTTGGCTTTTCCAGCTTTTCGCGGTGTTTTTGTATGGTAAGTTACGCACCCAAAATTGATAAGTTGCGGTCAGTGGCGACGGCGACGGCCGAGTGTTACTATTTTTGATTTAGGCTCTACGTTTTTTTTTTCTTAATTTTTTTTTTTGTTGGTGCCACCGATGCGTACGAAATATCGCCCGCAAGTGGCAACCGTAATCGCATCGCAGCAACAGAAGCAGCAAGGTTAGCTCTTGGGCACCATGAAATATTTTGCAATCTCGGGGTGTATATGTTTATTTTGTTTGTTCGAACTGTGTTAATTAAAATGTTCAGCCTCGTTTGCATGCACGGAACACTAGCGGACCAACGGGGCGGACATGCACAGAGAAAAAAAAACAAGAACTGGGAAATTTAAAGATTTTCAAGATTTCGTTCAAGAATTTTTAAAGAAAGCTGTAACTAATCAAACTCTAAATTATTTCTCTTGCGAAAAACCAGTATACCGCACGTAAAATATTCTTTTAATACGCTATGATTTTCTCCCTGTGTACAACCGGCAGTTGACCGTTAGTAAACATTTTTGTGTGGCCGCTAATTGTTGTTGACTGGCTGCCAAGACAAATTACACCCGACCCGAAATTCGGCACCCAAGTCGCGATCTACCTATAACTAACTATATATATCCATCGATCGATCGATCTGAGTGTGTCTAGCTATTTATCAATTGCAAATCAATCAGCGACCTAGCGCGTTTTTATTGCAGCGATTATATCGCTGATTTCGCACATGATCGACGGTCAAGATGGATGTGTTTGCTATTCGGTTGGGTTGGCTAAATGCCGACCTTGGCATAAGCGGCAGATACTTTGGCTTTAACTATGGCCTAGCCGGGCTTAAGATTGAATACAAATTAGCGACGAGCATCGACAATTGATCAGGCGGTCACCATCGTCTAACTGCATTGATGGCTCTAATGGGGGACAATGGAATCGCATTTGGACGAGGTCGCGGAGGAGCTACACGGATTTCTAGCATGCGTGTGTAAAATAATTTGGCGACCAACGATGACTGAATAAACATTGGATTTTGGTTCGGAAAAGGGCGGGGTAAAACCCACATCCACGCAGGTATAATGGTTATGACCTTGGGGGGAGCAAGAAGAACCTACTGGAGATGCACTTGGAAAGCTGTCAATCTAAGGGGAATTTGAAGATTGAAGAACTTTATATAAACCAAATGTAAATAGCTACAAAATCTGGGATATATCTTAACTATATCTTGACTTCTTCCTACAATAATGTGTGATCTTTAGGCAGATGCTCAGAGGTCAAATCCAATGTTGACTCTTTCCTTGATCCCCTATTTTGACAGCATAGTTGCCCGATTATCTTATCATGGCTATCGTGGTCCGATCTCCATATTCTGCGTCATGCAATGACCAAAATAGCCGAGACAAGTTGGAAAACGAAACTATCCGCCAATTAATTGAAATGGCTGTCAATACACGGCACGACTTAATGCATATGCATACTCATATATACAAGTATTTATTTTGTATTTTTTGATAAATATTTCAAACCAAAACGGGCTCTCGGCCTGACCTTCATCGAAGCAGCGAAGATCATGAGCTGCTGGATGGCTGGCTGGCTGCCTGGTGGCTTCTTTAATTTCAATTAATAAACGTAATTGTTGCAGCTGTCTGCAGCAGTGGCTGCCACTACGGCTGCGATGACCGCCGTCAAGTGTTTGCCAAGCTTCTCTAAAAACGACAAGATATATGCACTTGTGTTCATATATAAAATATATATATATAAATGCACATATATAAGAAGAGAAAAAGAGGTGAAGGCTGACAACAGGCGCCAAAAACCGCATTGCTTGATGCAGCAGCAGCAACTACTTGCCGCAGCAGCAACTTGAACTTCGCTGCCACTGCAGAGACATGATTTACATAGTGGCTGTGGCAGCAACAGGTTGCTTATAGATTGCCTCGGCGATCGCAGAACCATCATCATCCTCATCATCATCATCTCTCTCGCAATCATAATCCGCATTTAGGGCAACACTCCATCTGTGATTGCCTTGCCACCTGGCTTAATGCCCCGCTAATTGGCCCGCAACAACATAATTACAAAATTTATACAAGTGGCCACCGCTCTGCTGCATTGAACCGTGAAGTGTTGCGTCCGTAATTGCATTACCAGTGCATAGGGTTTCGGTCTCGGATCACCTCTTTCTTGCTTCTCTCTGGGGTTTCCTCTTCAAACTCCCCTCCCAAAAAAAAAAATTCCACCGGTAAAGTCAAGGTCGCCGCTGCAGCTCTGAAGGTCGCCACACAGCGATGATGATGGTTATCCGTACCTAAGTGGATGATTTGGAACACACTCGTGCTTCTCGAGTGCATCTTGCATACAAGTTTACTTAGTTGTCGGTGTAGGAATGGGGTTTTATCGGGTTAAAAATTGATCATAATTTGATTATTGATTATTCATTCCATTTCTTAATTCTAGTATTATCCTTAAGTATAAAGTTTATAAAGTTATATAGAATTTGTTCTATTTCTCCTCTCACCTTTGATATTTGAGCATGGCTCGTGGCAGCAGAAAGTTCTCGCTGCTGCCCTTGGGCATCGGGTTACTGGCGCTACCTCCTCCGTTAGGTGCACTAGCTCCTGCCGATGCTGCTACTCCTCCACTAGCTGCTCCGCTGGCTCCACTTCCTCCTCCTGCTCCTCCATTTTTGGCAAAGAAGGCTCCCAGACGCTGCAGATATGCGAATTTGTTGGCTGCACCAGTTGGATCATTGGTTGCGGAATAGCTCCTGGCACTGCTGCTTCGGCTGCTACCGCTCCTACTTTGGCTCCTGCTTTGGCTCCTACTCCTGCTCTGAGTTGTGCTCCCGGTCTCATCATCTTCCTCGTCGTAGGGCAGCACCTCGATTGCATCAAAATCGTAGGAGTTGAAGTAGGCCTGCTCCCGGGTCCGCTTCACCTGGGCAGCCTCCGTCACGTGGTCGGCGGATATATCAGTGGCTGTCTTCTTGCTCGCCGTACCCGGCGAACTTTTGCAAATGGGCATGGTGACCTGGAATTTAAGGAAAATATTTTGATTAAGTTTAAGATATTACATTTATTTGGAATTTTAGAAAGATTTACTCTGAAATAATTCCAGTTTAAAGCAAATATAGTTATGTTTAAGGCCCAACAACTCTAAGTTAAATATTGTAGCTTTTTGTAATGATTTTAGTACAGAATTCCTTAATGAATTGCTGGAAAAATAACTTAAGAAAAGAATCAATTAAATACATTGGAAAAACCATAAAAATTTTATGAGTTTATACAACAATTTTTCGTTTTTTATTTTATTTTTAAGAGGCTTTTAATGATTTTATTGCACAATTTTACGGTCTGGCTTTTGGGGCGCCTCCAGTGCATCCGCTTTGGCCAACTGGAGTGGCGGCTGGAAGTGCAACTGGAACTGGTTTGCCACTCACAAAAGAATCCGTATCCACGCGTTTTGTGCCACTCTATGTCCCTGTGGTTGTTGGTGCTGCTGCTGCTGTTGTTGATGTTGATGCAAGCGTTTTTGCCTCGCTCATGACTTTGCATTAATTAGCCAAAAAGGGTTTTTGCGCGATTGCATAATTTTTCTGCTGCCTCCCCCGCCTTCCCCCTTGGGCATAATTTATGGTGCAAGTAACTTGGCTAAATGCCAGCTGATAGCAGCACGCCCCCTAACCCGCTAACCCCCGAAAGCCATGCCAATGATGCGCCCAAAATGCATTTATGTAAAAGCCTGCCCGTCGCGAATGGCCAGTTATGTGTATGATCGATAGATAAGTGCACCTTGCTGACAGCTTCATCATCACCTAAAAGTAGCTTGGAGCTTGGAGCTTGGAGCTGGAAGCTGGCAGTTCGGTAGGATTGGCTCATCGTCATGAAATATGTTCCGTGTTATCGACAACAGAGCTGACGAGGCTGTGCCATTTTGCGGTTTCAGTTTCACAGGCCGTGTGGCAATCAGCTCTTTTCATGCCACACACACACAGATTGAAGGCAATCAATGATACAATGTTGCCTGTCTGCCAATACCCGAAATTATGGGGCATCAATCCTAGTCTTTCAATTCAGGAAATTTGCGAGGGTTTACAGAGTGCCACTTTAAAAGCTTTGGAAAATAAATTGGGCCTCTCTGTACTGGAATAAGTAAGTAGTTCTTCGTGTAATAGAAGTTCATAGGATTGTTATTGATTGGTGAACATTATTTTCCTTTAATCGATTTTAAATTTAGCTAATATTTTCTCAAAAATACATTTACAATAATAATAACTTGCAACATTTTATTTAAGACTCTGATTACTTCAACGAATCCCATTTGACCTAACGTCTAGTTCCAACTCAATCCATTGAGTCCTGTGGGTTTTCTTGATAATTTTGCGGTCGTTGGGGCCCGATGAGGCGCCTCATTTGACGGATTTCTGTGCCACCAGCTGCCATAATCGCTGAGCTGCGATAATAATAATAGTGGTGGATTAATCGCCGATCGTGTTACCATATGCCGTACCGTTGCCGATGACATTCCATGCCACATGCACATGTGTGCCATGGTCAAGACGCAGTGACAAACGCGACGAGAGCCGAGTTTTTTTTTTTTTCTAGTTCTCTTGGCTCTAAGTGACAACTCAAAGTTATTTTGTCGTCTTCTGAAGCACTGACAGTCGTCTCGTGGAGGAACAAACATATAATAAAAGCACAAAAGAGGCAGAAACATAAATAACAGTTGGCAACTTCAAACGCTCAGCTGATTTCCGTTGCCTCCATGAATCGAGGCATGAGTGGTGTGTTGATTGCAACCGATAAAGACAGCAAATTGGAACAGTCCGTCAAGTTGTTAAGAGATGACAATAAATGTTCATTTATTGATAATTATCACATCGATATCAAACGAAATATGCGATCATTTTCGATCTTTATGTATTGATTGTTTGATAAAAATGGTTTGTGATTGAATAAGAAAGTTCCAAACTAGCTAAATGTTTAAAATTTTTGTATATTTTATTTGTGATGGTATAACCGATATCTTTCGATATTCAATACTTCGATATCTATATTTATTATCCATATATTTGAAACCTAGACATCATTTGTCATATTATCATCTTGTATCTACTCAAACTAGCTTGTCTAGGGAATTGTCTTCAATTAATCTTGATTTGGCGGGGCCAAACTCCATTCACTTTAGACATATAATCAGAGCTAGTCAAATGCAAATATTGCGCAAGCTTGTAAAAGAATAGACAGACAGCGTCCGAAAATATTGTTTGAATTGGAAACACAACCGATTTGGCTGAGGCTTCTTCCATTTGCTGGCCAAACAATCGAGTGCTGAAGTGGCCGCCACTTGAGTTATGGAAATGCGAATAAAAATACTGGGGGCTTGCACGGCGACGTGAGGGTTTTATTTATAGTTTGCTCTTCAATCAGAATGCCTGCGGTGGCTTTTGATATTTTAATGAGTCAATTGCCAAGCTGAAAAAAAAAAAACGGACTGGAAACGGACTGGAATCGGAATCAGATTCCAAGAGATTCAGGTGGAGCGACTAAATTCGAAGGTGTTGCCAAGCGAAAACGACGCCTTGACTGATTTGCCATGAATTCATCATTGCGGACGGCCGAAACAAAAGACTTAAGCGACAAACTTTGATTGCCCAAGACGCTCGTCGAGCAAATCCGAAAAGAAATCACCACAAATGAAGCCGATAAAAAACAGCAACACACACAAAATCTGCATTGTTTTCCAGCCGCATTGCAAAATTTTGCTGCTGTTGTATCGTGATGCTAATTTACACTGGCCAACCGGCAACACAAAATCTGCAACAAGCAACAGCAGCAACATTGGCAGCATCAGCAGCAACAGGCAACACCTTCATTTGGCATGCGGCAACATCAAACTGCAGTTACCACATGCCACCTCCATGTAACCCGAAACAGAGGACAAGGCTCGAGTACAATGAGTTAACCAAAATGCTTAGAGAGCTTATCGCCAGACCCAAGATGCAACATTAACATAAACAACTTGCTTTTCTCTTTACTAACATGTTGCAAAGGTTAGCTTTTAAATTATAAAAAAGAAATTTGGTTTACAACAAGTTCAAAGTTTGTTTATTATTTGTTTTGAGTTAAGAAATCTTTCATATAATATTTTACAATAGCTTCTTTTAATGATAAATCCTTTGAAGACTAGCCACATCTTGACCAAACCTTTTAAAGGGTCAAAGGTCTTGCCAAGTATTGTTTACAATTGTAATTTTGCATCACTTGGCAATTGTTATGTCTGTACTTTTCCCTTTCTGTACACAAAGTTTAATGGGATTGTTTAAACCCAAAAAGTGACAGCATATCAGTTTAATCATTTCAATGGAAAATAAAGTAGATTCCATTGAAACTGGTATAAAAGTCTTTGCAGTTTGACTTTAAAGTTCAAACAACTAAAAATGCATTGAGCAAGAGTCTGGCGCTTTCAGCCCTTGGTTAAATTATTGTAAAATACATTATTTTACGCCTTACTTCTCATTATGTTCGAGGCTGTTTGCCATTCTCCTCTCTCACCGGACTACTGTCGGTCTCCGGTCTGCAGTCTCCGGTCACCGGATTCCGGACAGGAGGAGGTGGTGGCTCTAGAGTGTTCATGGCTCGTTGCACCACCACCCACACCAACAGGCCACCACCAGCCGTCACCTGTCGGCGTTTGTCATTGAGGCTCTGGGTGCCGACGACTGTCGCAAAACCTCTAATTAGTTGGTCTCAAAGAGACATTTTGCAACGATGATTACGACGGGTTGGCGGCAATTAATGCGCTCTTGCACTGGCCGCTGAACTGAACTCATAATTGCGTTTTCCAGTGTGAAAAAACGCAGTGGGTTAATGCTAATTGCAGACGCATTAGCCCCTCTTTTTTCTCCTCTATTTTCCCGGCTCTTGGAAGTCATCTAATTAGGGCCTTTGGCTGAGATCAAGGTGTTTTAGAAAGCCAACACGACTACTAGTATTTTCACTCGTCGAGTTATTCAAAGTTAATGAGAGTTGAGGCAGAGGATTTATTATCATTTGTTGGCTTTGGTTTTGATATATTTATACCCTTCCAGGGTATTATAATTTCAGTCAGAAGTTTGCAACGCAGTGAAGGAGACGTTACCGACCCCATAAACCATATATATTCTTGATCAGCATCAATAGGGGAATCTTTCTAGACATGTCCGGAAGAAATCGATTTTTTGGCCATATTTGCGAAATTTGATAAGGGGTTACATCATTAAAATTAGCATAAATGGCCGAAAATTTTGATTTCTTAAAATTTTAAATTTGGTATGCAGTTTTTTTAAATTAATAAAAACTAACACAAAACTGCTTTCCGAATCGAAATTAATGCATTTTTGGCTTAGTTATGATATATTTTAATTGTTACCTGCAAGGGTATAAAAACTTTGGTTTTCTTTCTTGTTTTCTATTTATTTGTAGACAAATTGTTTACTTTGGTAAACAAATTATGCATTTTGTAATATTTTAATCATATTCTAAAGACAGCTCCGGGTGCTATCTAATGCAATTAATTAATTTATTATATTATTACCCCTAGAGCTTACTTCATCTATTATTTACAATCTATTACACAATGACACGTGCTGATTGATTGTTAATTCCCCCCAACGAGTGCATCCCTTGGCCAGTCTAACCACTTTTATTAAATTGTGATTTATCCAAATGTGAGCCCATCAAATCGGCGCACATAAATTAGATAACCGCCACCGACTCCCTGGCCCAAGTAAATAAGTTATAAAATGTAACGAGCATAATTAAGTGCAAGCTATGGGAGGCATGGCAGTTGGTCGTTTGGCTGACTGGCCGACTGGCTGGGCTGGCCTTTTGGCCAATAAATCGCAACTGGCAGCCGCCTGGTGGCTGTGGTCAGAGATTATGTAAATGGCCCAGAGCCACTTGGTCAGTTTGAGTATGATTGTGTGCACTTTTGGTATCGAAGCTCTGTCCATTAGAACGGTGGCTGCCTTGTTGACAATAGATAATGCC